CCCCCCCCTTACACATACTTGTTCTTTGCGGCGTCTCTAGCTTTTCGATCCTCAAGGTCATCTGTCAATCCTTGTCAGATCAAGGAATCAGCATCATTCCTCCTCTCCCCGGTGTCTGCCTGACGCCGTGCGTGCCCTTTGCCCTAATCCCCCTCTCCACCGGAAGTGTCGTTAAAACTCTGCACGCACCTCTTCTTACCACCTCCGCGCCTCCCCTTCTGTCTATCTCCCCCCGACCCAGAAATTAAATCTCGCATTCCTTTTTGCTTGAGATTCGAGTTCTCGCTGCTCTTTTCTTTTTCTCCTTTTTTTTCCACCGCTAACTGTCGGGCTGATCGGGTCAGATCGTTTCTTATTCTCGAAAGTAGAAAAAACCCTGTTTTCTCTCTTTCCTCCTCCCTTTCACCTCTCGGCCATCGCATTTTCAAGGCCTTTGGACTCCACCGGTTCCAAAGGCACCCCAGTGCACCACGGCTCTCACAGCCTCGCGTTTTCTTCGTCAAATTGTATCGCATAGACGTCAACGCGACACTCTTAATAACATTCCCCCTCCTGCTGGTCTCGATCTCCGTCCCTCCGTCCGGTGCGCCATTTTTTCATAAATTGACGCCCTCACAATTCACACCTTCGCCTTTTGAGCTGCCGCATAGGACTTCTCTGAAGGTTCTTCCTCTCAAGGAGGAAGGGTCTAGGAGGCTTGGTCCAGTCAACCTCGGTTGCGAAACTTTTCGTCCTCCCTAACACGCAGTCGCGTTCAATCACTTTCTACTTCTTTCTTTATCTTTATCTAAAGACCTATCCCGTGCTACGTCGCAGCGCGCATGGTTATGGCACCGACTGCTTGTTTGCCAGCTGAAATATGCACCACTATCAAACATTTTCCCGACAAAATCGACTTTAATCCCAAGTGGGATCATGGTCAATTCAGCTATCATGGAGAGGACGATCAGCCGCAGTCTAGGTTGGCTGCCAAGGAGCTGATCCTGGACGTCCTGAAGAAGCGTGCGTCCGAGGTGGACGTGGACTCGTGCGCCCCCGGCGCCGAGGATGCCTTTTATGTTGCAGACATGGGCGAGATCTATCGCCAGCATCTGCGTTGGAAACTGAACCTAAGCCGTGTCCGGCCCTTTTACGGTAAGTTTCGACTGAACCCTCGACTACGCAAGGGCGCGGACAGCGACTGATTTGTGATTAGCCGTCAAGTGCAACCCGGACCCCGAAATCCTTCGCCTCATGGCCCAGCTCGGCAACGGGTTCGACTGTGCCTCCAAGGCGGAAATTGACCTGGCCCTCGCCACGGGTATCGATCCCAGCCGCATCATCTATGCGCAGCCCTGCAAGACCAAGTCCTACCTGCGCTATGCGGCCCAGATGGGCGTGAAACAGATGACCTTCGATAATGCCGATGAGTTGTACAAGATCAAAGCCTGCTACCCCGACGCTGAGCTGTACCTACGCATCCTCACGGATGATTCCTCAAGCATGTGCCAGTTCAGCATGAAGTTCGGAGCCTCGATGGATGTCGCCCGGCACCTGCTCGAAGTTGCCTACCAGCTCGAGCTTAAGGTGGTCGGTGTCAGCTTCCACGTTGGCTCCGGCGCCGAGGACCCCAAGGCTTTCCTGAAAGCTGTCCAGGATGCGCGTCTGGTCTTTGATCAAGCCGCAGAGGTGGGCCACGAGCTTCACACTCTCGACGTCGGTGGCGGTTTCAGTCAGGAGACCTTTGAGAAGTTCGCCGGTGTCCTCAGTGACGCCCTAGATGTTTACTTCCCGCCGAACATCCGCATCATCGCCGAGCCCGGCCGCTACTACGTTGCCAGCGCTTTCACCCTGGCTGCCAACGTAATTGCTCGTCGTGATGTGCGGGATCCTGAGAACCCGACCCATGATGCCTACATGCTCTATCTCAATGACGGGGTGTATGGAAACTTCTCCAACATCATCTTCGACCACCAGCACCCTGTGGCCCAGGTTCTTACCTGTGACCCGAGCGTGAATCCTCCGAATGCTGCGACTTCGGAGGGTATCGCCTACTCTATCTGGGGACCGACTTGCGATGGCATTGATGTCATCAGCAAGCGCATCAATCTCCCGGCGCTCCTGAATGTAGGCGATTGGCTGTATTTCGAGGACATGGGAGCCTACACTAGGTGTAGCGCGACTCGCTTCAATGGCTTCTCCGACAACCACGAGGTGATCTACATCTCTAGCGAAGCTGGAGCCTCTGCTCTTCTCGAGTACTAGATGTTGTTTGATCTTAGTTTGTGTTTATTGTTTGCTTGGATCTCTGCGCACCACTTGTCTTTATCTGATGTGGCGGCCCGCTTATCCTTGTTCGTTCATGATTTAACTGCTTTATCTTCCTCAATAGAGTAGATGCAAGGGGGACTTGCACGATGAACTCGAATGCGAGCAGAGACGTTATTAGTTCTAGTTATCTTTTCCTGATGTTTTTACGGGTCCATGTGGAGGTCCGCACTTGTTCATCAGTTGACTGAAGTACCTCGTTCATTCTACTGTTATGCTTTCGGCCCGCTTTCCAATCTTTCAATCTCTAGAAGTGATCTATCATTCTCTATGGGAATCAAATCTAACTATCATAGAACCGACCCTTTCCGCCGCGATCCATCCACGCACTTCGTTCTCCCGTCATAAAAGTCATATGGCCAATATATAAATCGAAAAGAAACTGTGGTCTAGTTCAAACAGTCATTATGCGCAGGAGCCAGCCCCTGTGCATCGTATATGGTAGGCAAAAGAGAAAGTCGAATGCAGGTCGGAAACATTCAGAGCAGTCGCTCCACAACCAAGTCGGCATCGTTGGCCCCGCCAACCCGTACAAGCCCACCGGCTTCGAGCTTCTTCTTCCACTTGGCGGATTCATAGCGAGCCAAAATGAGCGTAATCCGGGCCACCACAGCGGGGTCAGCATTTTCGGCGACAACGTCCGATGGTGTGAAGGTCCAGCGACCGAAAGCCCAATTCAAAATGTAGTAGCGGGAGGCGGGACCGTCGACAGCAGCAGGCTTCGCGGCGCCGTCATCCTCCGAGGATTCCGCGGGAGGGGAGCTAGTCGAGCAGCGCATGATACCCTTAATGCGGTAGACCTCTTCCTTGGAAGCGGAGCGAAGGAGCTGCTCCAGAGCCGCGACGTCGACGACCGAAGAGTCGGCCGACTTGAGCGTGACGGAGAGCACCTCGACCTCCGACTGATGGTCATTCTTATGCGCATGGTCCCCGTTGTGCTCATGATGGTCATGTTCTCCGGTATGCCCGTCGTGCCCAGCATGCGCATGTGCATGCTCTTCCTTAGCGAACAACGCCCCGTCAATGCCCAGCAGGACATCCTTATCGACCCTGCCGCGATCCGACTTGACCCAGGGGGTGGGGACCTCCAGATCGCCGACGCGGTCGAGACAGATATCGAACCGCATCTCCGACACATGCTCCCACTTATTGAAGATGATCAGATCCGTGTACTTGGCCTGTAGCTTCGCCGTGTACGAGGTATCCTCGTAGCCCTCCCAGTTCTCGACGTCGATGACGCTGATCACCCCGTCCAGCACGAAGCTGCCGGGATTCTCGCGCGCCAGACGGTTGACCTCCATGGCCAGGGTGGCCGGGAATGCGCTCCCGCTGGTCTCGATGACGATGCGGTCCGGCTGGACCTCCGTGCGGAGCTGCTCGAGTGCGTCGCTCAGCTGGCCCACGAGGTTGCAGCAGATACAGCCGTTGAGCAGCTCGCGTACGCCGGAGATGGATTGCGTGGAGGCCAGTTGTGAGTCGACGGCGACGTCGCCGAACTCGTTCTTCAGCAGCGCCAGTCGGTAGGTCGCGGGCAGCTGCGGGATGAGGTTCAGGAGGAGGGTCGTCTTGCCTGACCCCAGGAAGCCCGTCACGATGGTGATAGGGATGGGCGGCATTCTGGGTGGTGTCTTTTTATCGTTTCGTAGCGGTCGTGTATTAGTGTAAGGAGCGGAGTCTAAAGTCTGGTAAGTCTATTGCGAAACGAGGGATGGCGAGAGAGAAAATAAGGGTAAGAGGGGAAGACGAAGGAAGCCGTTGGACTCGCCGGGCGGCAGAATTCGGCGGAGGGGCGGCGAAGGGTGGCGCTAGGCTGGATTGGGTGGAACCCTAAAGAGACTTCGAGACTTGGGAGGGCCTGGAGGAGGGTGGGCTTATCTCCAAGTGATAGGCAGTAGTAGCCTTTCTTAGCTACAAAGTACTAGGAGATGGAGATTCAGTGCCTTGACCCGGATAAACAAGACTACTTCCAACATTTCCTATGAGTATGCGTTGAATACGCACAGAAGTGCGAAGCAGCAATACTTGTCCGCAGGTAGCAAGTGATCGGCTTGTGGGAATTTCATCAGCCATGACCCCTGAAAAGAGGGCTGGTGGCGTGATGCCACTCGTAATATGACTACTCGTAAATCCAATCGAGTACCGTCATTCCTAAACGAGTCTTTCGGGTAGTGGGATGATCTATAGCAAGATACACAAAGGTGAATCAATCCTCTCGATAGTATGAGTATCTGATAGACACCCACCCACCAGTTGACTTAAACCCCCAGTGTCTAGACTACAACGCCATAACTAACTATAAACTGTCCGACTATCTTCAGGTCGAATCCGTTACACCCCTCCAATCCCAATAGAGGTAAATGGTGACCCCCCAAGCTCCACAAGGCTGAAACGTGCGCGACCAGCTAGCAACGAGTCAACGACGATGATATCATCCCCGCACTAACTAACTTCCACCCGCAAGCAAGCGGACTTGATGTCATTTCCCAGCCCTACCAGGCTGACAAGTTGACGACCACTTTCATTTTTAGGTTTTCATTCAACTTGCCAATTTAATGATCTAGACCTTTGACGCATTTTATTTGCTCTTTCTCTCTCGCTTTCTCTCTTTCTCTTGCTCTCTAAATAAGACCTCCGCATCCCCTCGAAAACGATTAGGAGCTTATAGATCCCCGCAATGAAAACCGTCGACGACACCGCCCGCGAACTAGGCTGCGTGCCCCCCCACGAACAAGAACACCTCGATCAACAGCGCTACGAGCGCGATTGCGCTTTACAGCGGAAGGAGCAGGAATTACAGTACCAGCAACAGCAACAGCAACAGCCCGAGCATGGGCTCAAACCTACCGCGTCGATAGCGCATGCACCAACCACATCCTCAGCGACTTCCTCATCCTCCTCCTCATCTTCACGCTTCCTCCCGCCCACCGAGAAAATCAACGAAGTAGCCAGTACCTCGCTCCAAGAAGCCAAGACGATGCTGAACGCTGCATGCGAGAGCGAGCTCGTGAATTCCGCTGTAAGGAGGGTGAGGGAGTATGTACCTGGTTTTGCGGGGGGGGATGCGGAGGGGGAGAAGGGTATGTTTTTCTTTTCTTTTCTTTTTCTTTTCTTTTCTTCTGTGGGGATTGAGGGGGCTGGGCTGGCTGGTTCTGGTTCGAGTGAACTGTTAAGCTGATGATCTTTACTGGTATAGAAGAACACGACCCCCTCGCCGCTGACCCCGAGGAGATCCGGCGGATTGAAGCGCTGGAGAAAGAGCGGATCGTCGAGTTCCTGCAGGACCGGACTCGGAGTAATCGCGATTTGGAAAAGAAGTATCATCCCGGTAAGGGGGTGGGGTCTGCGCCGGAGCAGTGATTTTTTTTTTATTTTTGGTTTGGTTTACTTGGTTGGGGATGTTGGGTGTTTTGTATAGATGAATGGACACTGTATAACTATTTCTTTGTGCCATTTTCAGTGTAGAGTAGGGTTACAGTGGATGGAATCACTGTAATGCATTTATATAATTTCACGGATACTAAAAACCGAGACTCACAACAAAGCCCTCATCAACCCGCGATCCAACCCGCGCTCCAACCCCAGAAAATCCACGACCTGGCCCAAATGGTCCACCCCGAAGAACCCCTCCGTCTTGCCCTGCGCGTTCGTGCATTCCAGCCACGGCACCCCGAACGCCCCGGCCTTGAACGCGCGGTCCGTATTGGCCGCAAGCTGCGCTTTGATCTCGGGTGTTCCCATCTTATCGGTAGATATTAGCTCGTTTCCGCCAATCCATATTGCCCGATGAGAAAGGAAGGGAAGGAGAAACATACAATCTCAACGACCCTCGCGGCCACCTCCTTCCCCAATACCGCCTCCAACACGGGCACGAAACACGCCGGCTCGCCGATTCGCCCGTCTCCCTCCACCCAGAAGGTGCGGAACAGCGCCTCCTGCACGCTCAGCAGCTGCTCGGGCGCCAGCTGTGCCACGGCGCACAGCGCGCGCTGCGTGTGCAGTGTGCGTGGTGGGAAGTTTGGGGGTGTCTCGGCTACGATTGGCACTGAGAAGTATTTTGCCCATCTGTTGCGTTCCGTGGCGATCCATTTGTCTTTGTCTGCGACTTGGTTAGTTTGTGGGTATAGGGTTGAAAGAGGGGTCCGGGGTATGGGATTGAGGTGCCTGGGAAGCTGAAAGGAAGGGGGGTCCGGGGTTCTCCCCGGATACTCTCTCTCTCTCTCTCTCTCTTTGGCTTTGGGTTGCGTTATACCAGGAAGCTGAAAGAAAGGGGGGTCCGGGGGTTCTCCCCCGGGATGCTTATCTCTGGTATAGGATGAAGGTGCCTGGGGGTTGGGGGGTTGGGGGTATACTTTTGATTTCAACGGGCGGGGTGTTGCCGCAGGCGTGCATTAGACCGCCTAGGAAGATGGGGACGTAGGTTATTTTGCAGGTTGAGAAAATGGGGGAAGTCTGGTCTGAGTTAGTGGTTATTCCTTTGATGCGATTGATGTTTATGTGGTGGACTTACGCGGAGAACGTGGAAGGCGATGTAGCCGAACGGACTGACGGTGTCGAAGTAGAGGGTTATACTTGGGTTGGCCATGTTGGTATGTGTTTGAAGATCCCCCGGGATAATATTATTGTCTGCAGTCTATGATAGAGGATATCTAGGCTTGATTTAAGAGTGAAGTGAAGATGTCATGTCAAAGGCGCCCTCCTTCCAGGTCATGCTCTCCGCATGGCTGACTCAGCGCCACAAGCCGAGGTTGTTCGGCTTGATTTGTCGTGCATATACGAGTAACTATAACTATACGGAGGTGCGATTGAGGAGAAGTGGTGGGACGAATCTACAGGCTGACTGCTACCCTAGTAGGAGACGCGTTATGTAGTATGAGATAGTCGCATCGATATACCTCGTTTCTGATGGGTGCCTTAGGCCTCTGTCGAGGATCGAGGATGGTTCCTGCCTTCGACGAACCTCGACTGAATACTTCCCTGAGCATCGAAGATGAATCCCAGTTCATTCTCAGACAATGCACGAATGCGCAGTTTATCTAGCAAGCAGAAGCAAAGATGTCCTCCGACGGACGTTCATCATATGTAATTGCTCGAACCCGGTCAGGGCGTGCGTTCTTCTAACGATGGCATAGTATGCAGGACCGGCCCATCGAAGCACCCCGGATACAAGGCACAAATTGACCATATCGTTGACACAGACAACGCCTTCGCATTCCTCGAACCCGAGTCGATATCTACTGCAGAGCTCTATACCCGTGACAAAGCGCAACAGCTGCGCACGGTTGCAGTCCTGCAGAGATGTGCGCCTAGGCTTGGACGAACGATGGTCCATTCAAGAAGGCTCGCTGGTCCTGTGCATCCACCCATCCTATACTCTGCCCGACCATGACAACCCACTGACCGACGAACATGAGCTCATCACTGGAGAAGTGTTTGTCGTGTGCCGTCTCTATGCCGATCTGTGGGCCCTCTGTGCCAGTGCCTCGTCTATTGCTTCCGAGGCTGAACCGAGCGAGATCGATAAACATCCAATGCGTCTTGCATTCTTGCCGCTCTGCGCGGTGACGCTCGCGGCAAATTTCAGCGCTTTCAATCGGAGGTGCGCGGAGCATGATCTTCGTGAGGCGAGCGGCCTGCGATATCCAGGAAATGGACTCCCGGTGATGCCACCCCCTCGCTCGTATAGTCTCGTCGATAGTAGGCAGCTGGCTCGGTCTGAAAAGCTACAGATCCGCCTCCCAGAGGTAGTATATGATGTGCTCAACAAGGTGTTGCCCGAGTGCGCCGACGCCGATTATGTGCTCCTCGATCTCCCTCTCGGAGCTCTTCTGTCCAATCTGAAAGTCAGGCGCAGTCGCCAGTCGCAGTGTCTAGGAAGTCCTGCGGCGGAAACACAAGTGCAGCCCCCTGAGCCGGACAAAAAACCCTCAAGTCGGAGGTTTAGAAGGTTGATCGGATGGGCCTGATGTCTGGCGATATGACAGAGGCTCACTCCTGTTCTGTGGTGTCTGTTTGGTCTATCTTTTTTATGAGGGTAGGCATTGCAATGGACCCAGATTTTGTGAGAGATGAGCACGAAGGATGCTATCCTTATTTGTTTGGTCCCATTTCGTGCCTACTCCAGATACGGTACGCGCCTTGGAACCGGCTTCCGCGCCATGTTGTGGAGGTTCAGACTGGCTCGCGGGATCTAGCAATGAAACACTGCCAGGCTAGCAATTCTGACGGCCAGGCTCTCTTGGGTTTGTAATTACGTTCAAAGGGATCAATTGATGGGTGTTTTTAGACCTTTCCCAAGCATTCTTCAGGTTTAACAGGGTCGCATGAAATCCGAGCTCACCAGGTATTGAATTTGATAATCTGCGCTGTGCTTGCTCTTCATTTTTAGACCAGGTTTCCAAGGTCGACCGTGGTTGGTTGTTCTGCGCGAACGGATCACCTGGCCCAATCCGCACGATTGTACTCTCTTGCGATCGTCGTGTTCATTCGTCGTTTGGTTGATGGCTGAATAAAATCAAGAGAATCCATGTTGGAGGACTTTGAAGCTCATTACTCTCGAACGCGAGAGGCAGAATCAAGTCTCCATCAAGGTCGAAGTATCATGGACCCTGGTCGCATTAACAAGACTTCAGGACGTGGTTGGCTGCATGCCAAGCCTCATGATCAGCAGCACGAAGACGTGTTGCCTGTCTAGCGTGTATGTAAGATCCGGGCCTTATTTGATAGAGACAGAAAAAGTTGCGCTGAAAACCCCGAGCTCTCATTTTTGATGCTTCCCTTCTCGGCCATAGCAATGCAGCTCGATCTGATCATGCTGTTCGTGCTCGGACGGCAGCTGCATGCAGTCCAGATGCAAATTGCAGAGCCCCGCAGAACGCATGAGTTCAAAGAAAATTGTCTCACTCTCGTGGCGTCTCTTCAGCGCCACTAAGATGACTGCATCGGGTGACATCTGCAGCAAGCGGTCCAGGACTGAAACTAGGGCGGGCAAGCTGTCTGCATTATAGGTACAATCCGAGACAAGGACCAAGTCAACTGAGCCGCTGCAGAGATCTTTCGGAAGTGCCTCATCCCAATCCAGCGTTTGAAATTGAAGTGCTGAGGACTGAGCCGGTCGGGCAACTGCGATATTCTTGGTTACGATTTCTTCGACCTCGGGAAGATCTGTAAGCGTCACTGAGCACTCGGGCAGGAGCTCTGCTAGCGCGATGCCCACAATGCCACATCCAGATCCCAGCTCGATGGCATGAAGGGGGCCGCTGCGTGATCCTCGAAGTAGCCCCTGTAATAACGGTGCAGAAACCCCGGGATCTCCGGTGATTATCTTCTGAAGATAGATAACTGACGCCACCGCTGCATCCCTGAGGTGTTCTTCTATTAGCGTTGCAACAAGTGACCTGTTCCCGAACAAAGTGCCTCACCAGATATGCCGGGCGATGCTGTTCCCGGTCTCTTCCCAGATTCTCAAACCAAGCTTGTCATCCGGCCCGAAGCGTCTTTCTACAAGCTTCTCGGCCACTAAAGACTGTGACCCGCCAAATGGAGCACTCCAGCCTGAGACAACCAGCGGGAGTCCAGACTTTCCAATTAGTGAGTCTGGCAACGGTGCTTGCAGCTTAGCGCAGTCGGCTGCGGTCACTGCTAGCACGACTGTCTGTTGGGAAAGATGGGCGGGAAAGGGTCCCAGCGAGATTGGCAGCTCACGCTTGCCGGCCTTCCATGTCATGGGCTCCTGATATAGGGCCTTTCCTGTGCCCTCAGCGGTCAGGGCCACATGCAAATCCACATCTTCGGTCAGAAAGGCATCGCCCAAATCCGTGGTAATGCAGACCAGTGCGGAAGCCGAGACAGCACCTTTCTGCTTGGTGAATCTGGGAGCCTTGAGGAAGCGAATGTAGAAAACCATGGTCACTGCCAGGAGATCTCAATTGACACCACAACATAAGACCGACCAAATTCAATGACGAGTTGGACAGACTGTGGACGATATCAACTAAGTCCCAAAAAGGCAAGCGGCCCGGGACCGTTGCGCACGTGCCTGTGAATATGGCTGACTAAGAAGCGGGCGATGACATCGACCAAGTTCTTCCTCAGGCTCCCACAGGCCGCAACTCCTTCCTTCGATTCTCCATTCTTTTGATTGAGAATCTCCATCTCCGTCTCCCTCAATGCGGTCTCAATCAGTCAACCGACTGCCAACTCTGCTGTTTCAGTCTCCTCCCCATCATCGTCGCGCCGACTTGATGGGGCCTGTTGGTTGAGGTGTCAAACCCGATTTGAGCAAGCAAGCAAGCACCATTTACCCCTCGGCTGTGGCATGACAACAGTACTGGACCTTAACCCAGCAACCGTTGTGTCCCTTACCGCCCACGCACTCCCCCGGGCGTTTCACACACCATGATGCGATCAAAGGACCCTCGAGTCCGCCAAAGGATAAACCAACTCTCCCACAACCTTGAATCCGCCAACGAGACAGCCCAGGAGGGCCTCTACACCTTCTCTCACAACTATATTCTACCGTGTTTCACGGCGCTCGGGAACTGCGTCTACTCCTGCACTGCACCCTGTCTTCCGAGCCGGGAGGACCAGCTGCGCCGTCGCCGCCGCGGTCGCGCAGAAGCTAACTTTGACTTTTACGACGATTGGGACAATGAAGACTCGAACGCCGGACTGCTTGGATGGGGCACCGACGAGCTGGACCGCCTGCTGGCGGGCAGTGGTTTGGCTCGCGGTGGCGGCGCCGCCGAGCAGCCTCGCCGCCAGCGACGAATGAGCTACGGCGCCCGGCGTGCCCGCCGGAAGAGCACAGCTCTGGTTCAGGACGAACGGAATGATCCGACGGTCATCCCCAGCTCTTCGTTCCTGGGCTTCTTGGAGCGATTCCCCTGGCGCTTCGGCGCACGAGGACTGAAATACCGTCCTTCGGCAGCCGATTTACAGGAACATCCGGCAGGGCTGCACCGGCATGTCTACGAGGACGAGCCGCTCATGGAAGCAGCCGAGGACTACGAACCTCAGCCATCCAGGGGTAAGGGTCGATATCGCAGTTCGACGCAGTCGTCGCGGGAAACCACCAACTCGTTGAGCTCGCGCGGGGATCTGATTCCCAGCGACGAAGAAGAGGATGCCGTGCCCTTAGATGATGAGTTCGCTATGGCTCTGACGAGCCGTCGAGGTACCGGCTTGGACTCGATTGATTTGATTGGAGATAAACCGGCGAGTATGCGGTCGGCGTCGGGTACGTTTAGTCCCGGAACCACCGGATCCTCAAAGGCATCGAGGAAGAAGCAGATGAAGAAGAGGAGCAGTCGGCTTCGTTCTCCGCAAGGGTCGTACGTAGAGATTACCCGCGACGCTAGTACGCCTTCATTGGCCGATCTCAAGAAGGAGGAGGAGCAGGCGGAATATGAAGAAGAATCAGAAATTGCACAGAAACGGCGGGCTGCACAGCGGCTGGCTTCCAATCGTGGTCTTGACCATCAGGTTGGTAGTTGAATCGTCACGTTTGGTCCGCGGGACTGTTCTAACAAGATGCTTCTAGCTTTCTCCACCCGCGAATCATGGCACGTCATCACATGCTGCCCACGAAGATGTTCACAAGTCATCACCTGATTCGGCAGTAGAAGACCCTTCTGTACAGAATCTCAACGGTCGGTCTGAACCATGGCCAATGTCACAAACATCCGAGGGTAATTCGCAGACGGAGCCATTCCCCCCGTTCCCTACGACGTCCGATCCCCACGATACAATGCTTGCATCGCCGCATAGCGACTCTCAAGGCCAGGATCACGATCAGAACTCAACTTAAACGAGCGATTCGGCAGAACACCGAAGATGGATCCTTGCTGAGAGGAATGCAAACGGACAGGACACTCAATCGCCAACTGGTTTGCAGGTCAAACGTGGCCATTGTGTGGATCAGCCTGTGCCACATAAGCTGGTCATGGCAGATATATTAACATATTTAGTAATAGCGGAATGTGTAATATGACACGACTCACGAACGCAGCTGCGCCACCTACATAAGGGCCAGTTGCATGTGCAACGCAAGATATCTACATCGAATTTCTTAGTCACTCGCACAGAAATTACACTCTAATCCTAACCATCATGTTTCATCCGATTGCAATCCAACGAAGCAAGTTCACAAACGATATTCGCAATACCGTCTAATCCCAAGGCCTCTGGCGGCCCCTCGGGCACCACAAAGCCAAACCGCGAAGGATGCTCATTCGGCGCAGCCTGCAATACCTGCTCCGCTCGCTTCGACACCTGGTCCACACCGCCGGGGATATCCTCAAACAACCACGGCGGATTCGCCAGCGACAGAATCTCCTGATCGAATATCGCCCAGGAGTAGTCCGCATCGGACTCCGGCGGGAGGAACGGGGCCGCGCTTAAAGCAGTCTCGGGTAGCGTGTGCATCGTCTGCAGACTGGATTCGAGTCGATCGGCCAGGACACGGTGGACGCTGGGAACAGCCGGATGGCTTATTTCCAGCCTGGCGATGTGTTTTTCGACGAGGTGTAGATCTATATCTCCCCCGGCCCATATGGAATAGGGAATACGTCAACGGCTTGATTCCGGCTTGCTTGCTTGTTGTAGTGAAGAAAAGATCCACGTACCGTCTTGGTAAGACATACCGTCCTCGATTCCACGTAGGAGTAGCATTGCCGCGAAGGTGATCATCTATTCTATCACTTCAATATCCTGCTCAAGAAATCATGAAGTCATGTATGTAGTCTGTATGCCTGTGTGTGCTTGATGAAAAGGGAAAGGTTATACATACAATCAAATCCCAATTCGACCAAATACTCGCATCATCCAACCGCAACCGCACCACCGCATGCGCCGAAACCATCACCTCGTACCTCTCTCTCAGCCGGGGGCGCGATCTCCGCCTCGGAGGAGGAGGAGGAGGAGGAGGAGGAGGAGGAGGAGGAGCAGTAGCAGCCGAGATCGAACCCCCGTGCCAGGTGGTAGATCGACAGCACGTACAGCTTGTGGAGGTGATACTGGAGGAGAATGAGGACGCCCTGGCGATCGGAGGGCGAGGTTTCTTCGCATTCTCTTTTGTCAGTGGGTATCGTCTTCTTTCATTCACCTCCTCTTTCTCACACGCACTCTCTCTCACTCTTTGCCTTCGGGGATACAAGCAGGTATGGTATGTATTCTGTCCGAGTTCGACCTAGGGACGGGAAAGGGCGGAGGAGGGAGAAGAAACCCACGCGAAGTACCGTTATACCGCACTAACCAATCCTCCCATTTACGCACTCACAGCCGGATGACTCGGGCGTCTTCGGTTGTGAATGTTGTGTGTTGGGCACGAGGTGGGTTGGGTTTGTTGGTTCGCGCTTACGAAGGACCAGATTGTGGGTAGGCCTCGGTCTACGAAGTGGTTGAGGCCTTGGTGCGTGATTTGTGTTAGGGTGTGGATTGCGGCGTGATTCTCTTCTTCTTCTTCGCTCCTGGCGGTTTGGTTGGTGGTGGTTTCGCTGTGCTGGAGTTCAGGGAGGAGTGGGCGGCACATGTGCATGGATGCGTGCTCGATGTCGGTTACTTGGAGGCTTGAGAGGAGGCTATCCCAGTCGGGACTTGGGGCTGGGGTTGGACTTGGGCTTGCGCTGGGGTCGGTGCTACTGCTGCTGCTGCTGCTGCTGCTGGAGGGGACAGGCGTGTGGTCGAGGAGGAGACGGTAGGCGAGCGCGATCCATTGTCCCGTGGTCGAGACGTAGGCTTCGGAGCTGAGGCTGGCCATGATGAGGCCGAGGATGTTGTGGAGGTCTTGTTGGGGGCTGTCCGGTGGAGAGGGTTGCGATGCGCTGGCGTGGGTTGTCGGGCTGTCGTCGTCGTCGACGAAGCATCGAGTGTGTATCGTCAGGTCTGGGAGGACGGGGTCAGCGATGGCGCAGCATTGCGCGACGAAGTACCCTTTTGCTAGCTCGCTGAGGTCTTGGGATGGGTCGTGCAGGGCCGAGATGTAGAGGATCGATGATAGGAGGAGCGGGGACGGTGCGGCGAATGCGCTTTGGTCTTTGAGAAAGTGGAGGAGTGGGAGGTTGTTGAGGAGGCTGAGTCCATGTCAATCTGCTGTACCCCCCGGGCCGGCGAGAGAAGAATTGGCGGCATAGCGAGATCACATACGAGTTCCATAGGTGCTTGACAATAGGTCGTGACCTTATAGCATCGTCCTGCGGTGGCCGCGTGATGCGCTTCAGGTACCGTGCGGCGTGCCATAGGGGATGAAGGGACTCGCTCTCCTCGCCATGATCCACAGCTCCATGCGTCAATGGCATGGGTTTTTTCGTTTTCGCACATACCCAGCTTCCTTTCGATGCGATCCAGGCGCTTCAGAACCGACGGCACGTCGTTGGTGAGGCTCGAGGCAAGGGTACTATGTCGCGGGCAGCAGCTGCAGTCTGAGATTTTAAGCAAGAGAAGAGCCATTCTACGACAGAGCCGAGGAGTCACGCAATCCTCACATTTGATCTGGGTCGGAAGATGCAGGTCGTTTTGCTGTGTCGACAACGGTGACATGGCGGGCGATAGTACCTGTCTGTTTCATCTTGATCTGTTTCGTGATGGTTTGATGTTTCGCATTGGGCATGTATCTATTCCTCCAGTCCTATACAGCGATTTATTTTTAAACGAGGACCTGCGTGGTTACAAGCAGGAAGTAAGCAGAGAAGTGTCGCGCGACACTAGGAACAAGTAGTCCGCCACCACATGAGCCGGGGCTAAATTGATCGACGATAGCATTCGGTTATTCTAACTTGACAAGCCTTCTAAGTAAAGATAACGTGCCGAAAGATGATTGTACCCGAGAACCAAGGTATGATACTTCTTCGATACCCCGGTTTGTGTACACCTCACTTGCCTCGTGTATCATGCTAAATTACATCTTGTTCTCGCGTTTTTAGTCCGCCTTGCGTAAGCTTCAAATGCAAAGGAGGGTCTGAAAAACGGAAATAAGAAGTGTACCACATCAGTCGCGGGCTCACATTCTTGTTGATCTTGCGCGTGCTCCTAAAAAGGAGGACCAGCCATCTGCCAACATGGTATTTCGAGTGGAGATGGGGTAGGTTGTTCTTGATATGCGCGTTCATGAGGCAGTCAGAGTGATTGATAAGACTCAAGTAAAAAGGAAAAAGGAAAGAAAAAGAAAGAGAGAAGAGTGAGAAGGGTATTATAAAAGCACAGGTCTATATACATGATCTTTCATGCCGGTATTCATCATAAAAATACATGGGAGATATGATACACATGGCGAGTGTCAAATATCTGACAATGCAGCGCCATGATGGAAGTCATAAGAGTTAAGGGAAGCCATGCTCGACGTGGCATCAAGCATCCTGCTTTTTCAAGTTCAAGCCGACGCAGCGGCATCTTCAACGGGGCCCTCTTCGGACACGTTCATGGAAAGCTTCCGCATATCCCAGCCATCTGACTCGATCCAGTCTTTCTTTTCGCCGAGCAGGCACACAGACCGCTGAGAGCCATTGACCAAGAAGGATTGTGCTGCCTCGTTGACGTCCTTCGCGGTGACATCAAGGACCTGCTCTCTCCAGCGCTGGTCCATTTCATGGGTAACACCGCTCATGAAGTATCTTGCGCCCTCCTCATCGACACTCATTGGAGCGTCGAGACCCTGGAAAATACCCAACTTGGCCTCGTTGAGTTCCCGCTCCGACCAAGTCCTGTCTCTAGCAAAGATTCCGCTGTTTTGGAACACCTTCAGAGTGTTGGTAGGGTTGGGATCCCGGTAGCTGGTAAAGGCAAACATGCCTTTGACTGGACCATTGCTGGCTCCCGCACCGTAGGCACCTCCCTTCTCACGAATCTCCGGATGGAGGTAGTTATGCGTCAGCAATTGAGAAAGGACACTAAGCTTAGCGCTGGAGGAGTGGACGAATGGGACTGTGTGCATAGCCAATCCCGAGTAGTACACCTTGTACGGCATATCGAAGAACGTCTTGATCAGCTTGGAATCCTTGGCTGGAGATTCGAAAGCGGTTGTTGGCGAGCGGACTTGAGGCAGACCCGCGAACCATTTCTGCAGCACGGACTCATTCTGACCCGCGCTCTCTGGCTCGCACACCATGCGGACACGAAGGCCGGACGACCTGGAGATGGCGAACGCCTGGATCGTGCGGAGCTTCTCAATCAACTCCGCCAATCGCTCGGGAGACGTTTCTGCATCCCGCAACAGGTTAGCCGTAGCCTGCAGCTGTGCAAGACCGGATTGTTGCTCCTGCACCCAAAAGCTGCGCGACAGACTTGCCGCAGCCGCGTTGAGCGCGAAGCGATGGCCTGTACCTGCAACAGCGTCCAAAGCACCGTTGGTCGTCATCCGGAGTAACTCCTGAATCATGGCTGGCGCACTGGGGCTTGCGAAGTCAGTTTCAGTGACCAGGGTGGTCAGAATCTGCAGCATGTCGGGAATGTTCTTATCCAGAGCGGATCCGGAGAATTGAAGACCTTCGTTGAACTTTCCAAGCTCCGTGGGCGACGAAACGTGGAACGTGGAGGTGGAGATGCCCCCGGTCTTCAATTTAATCAAGTCTTCCCATTGTTCCATGGAGCGGTTTGCTGTACCCAGTCGCATGATACAATCATTGAAAAGCGGCATCAGCAACCGAAGGTCATCGGGGAGACCGTCGAAGGTGTTCAAAGCCTGGAAGTAGGTCAAGCCGTTAGTAGGAGCTTCCCGCCAGACAACATCTACGTTGTCGACCTTGGACTCCCGGACGGGCTTGCGCTCCTTCTCGCGTGAAATATCAGACACACGGAGGGAAGGCAAACAACTCAGGTCGGCGTTTTGCGCTTCCTCTTGGACTTTGAGCAGCTGAAGCTCTTCCTCCGTTAGCTTGGCAATGGCTTTCTCCATTGATCCATGCTGCTCAACGAGCTGGCTAAGCTTCTTCTCCTTCCGGACCAATTCTTGCTCGTCAAGCTTTTGGTTGAAACTGGGTGTGCCGACCATCGTGAATGTCAGGCAGTTATCATTCATAAGATACTTCTGCATCAGCGACTCCAGATAACCCCACTGTGCGTATCTCCTCTTGAATTCATCAATCACTTCATTCCAAGCCAATTCCTTCATGGGATTGGACCCATTGAACCAAGAAGAGATGGTTTTCTCCATCACGCCAATTCCGAAATTGGCAGTCTTGTGCCTGAGGGCAAGCTCAAGCTGGTGGAGAATACCCTGGACCTTCTCATCACTGAAACCCGTGGCGAAAGATTCTTCGAAGACGGTCTGGATAGCAGTCTTGACATGAGAGGCCGACTCTTCACTGATGCCAGTCACACCGACGGAGAACACGGGCACACGGCCAGAGGTATCAAGACCTGTGTTTGGACTGAAGGAAGAGCCGAGCCCACTCTCGATCAAAGCCCGGTACATAGGTGAGCCATAACCATCTAGGAGCAGAGAAGACACAATTCCAGCAGAGAAAGCCTCCACAACATCGGTTGAATCTCCCATGTACCACGAGGTTGACGTTTTGTGCTGCTTGTCTTCGCTAGCGAAGGTGTCGATGGGACCTGGAACAGTCACGTTCTTAGGGCCCTGGCTAAGGTCAATCGGCTGCTTAATAGACTTGTCGGCTTCGCCCTTCTGGAATCCATCCAAAACTTTGCCAATTTGCTCAAGGTGGCTAGCCAAAGGCATATCACCATAGGTGAAGATCTTAGAATTGCTGGGGTGGTAGTTTCGCTTAGAGAAATCGACCAGCTCCTTGTGCGTCAAGTCGGTGATATACTGGGGATCACCGCCCGAGTTGTTCAGTGCTGGGATGATGCTCTCTTTATATTTGATGTAGTAGAGGTAGTTTGCGTCCGAGATTTGTCCCTTCATCTCGTTGTACACGACGCCCTTGAAAAGAATGTCCTCGGGCTTTTGAGCCGTCTGACCCTCAATAGCACGGGGATCCTCTGGCCCTAATCGCCAGCCTTCTTGTCTGAAATCTTCCTCTTTGAGTAAAGGGTGGAAGGTGGCATCTAGGTAGACTGAGAGCAGGTTCTGGAAATCTTGCTGATTGGTGGTAGCGAAGGGATATGTGGTGTGGTCAGCGGAGGTGAAGGCATTCATGAAATTCGACAGTGAGCGGGGAAGCATCTTGAAAAAAGGGTCGCGGATAGGATATCTAAACAGTGGTGATGCGTAAGCCATGGTTTTGATCCCATGTGAGATGCATACCCACGGGCCTTTAGGTGGACTTACTTTTCACTACCACAGAGTGTGGTATGCTCCAGGATATGAGGAACTCCAGTGGCATCAGGCGGATTGGTCTTGAAACCAATTCCAAACACATTGTTCTTGTCTTCCCTAGCCACATGGAGGTAGTCCGCGTCGGTCTGGTCATGCGTTAACCGGACAGCGGTGAGATGTAGTTCCGGTACATGTTTCTTTTCTTGAACGGTAAATCCGTGGATCTTCTCTCCAATTCCAGGGAAGTTGTCGATGCTTGTCACGGTTGAAGCAGATCTTCTCCCCTGACCCCAGCGAAGCAGAGCGCTGCCGGAGTTCCATAGACGACCGTTGGCGGACTTGGGTAAAGCAGGCACACGGCCTCGGCTCACCCCAAGAGTTGAACGCAGCATGTTGTGACTCAATCCAGAAGATTGTGAGGTAAAGCGGACAACCGCGCAGCGTACTTATGACAGAGTACGGCACAACTGACGTACTTTTGAGCGAGTCCGCAGCGGTTTGTCGAGTTACCGAAAGTGGTCGGGAGCCGTGGACGGGCAGACCGGGCAGACCGGACTTGGGATGCGCAACGGGTAAAACGATCGTACGCTACTTCACGAAGTCACGCAGACTATTGAACTGGAACAAATTAATGCTCCAGGGAAGTAGCGAAAGGGGAGGAGTGGTGGTAGAACCGAGAGAGAGAAGATAGAAGATTTGAAGGAAGAAGTGGTTGTGTAAAGGTAGCTCGGACTCGGCGCAAGTGCTTAGAAAGACACGGCGGGCGGGCGAGAGTCACTGACTGACTGACCGCCAAGAGAAGTTTTCGAAAGAGGCTAGTGCAGGTCAAGAGCGCATCCCCCCTCTTACGACTAGTATTCCATCCATTCCTCCCCGGCAAGTTCCTCGAAACCCGCTCGTCTGTCGATTCCTTGAGTCGACTGTCACGCCAATACCCTTCCTTACTCACCCCCCCTAGTGCACCTCCCCGTTGTCGGCTCCCAACCCTCCTGCAGTGAGCTTCTGGTTGGCTTTGCAGCACTGGATTTCCCAAGTCAACCTTGTGGGTTCCAGTTACCTCCGACTTCTGCAGGTCTGGAAAGAGGCCACCGAGGTTCTCCACTAGACTCGCCCCGAGTTACTACGAGTCCCAGTCATTCATAACACCTACCCTCGACTATTGTTCGCTTTGTCGCCGCGAAAAGGTTCCCTTATTGTCCCTGTTGTCGCGGCTATCGGAGGAAGTGACGCATCCGTTCCTGCCATCTTCCATCGAACCGGTCCAACTTCGCAAAATTCACCGCTGTGAATTGGCCACGCGACCACCCACAACAGCACCAGAACCGCACGACTTTTCCAGATACCTACGACGACCGATCCAACATGTCGGCCGCGGCCATGTCGAAGAAAAAGCAAGGGAAGAAGGTTGCGGATCCCAACGAGACCTCGAAGCTGCTAGCCGCCAAAATCTCGCAGTTGGAACAGGATGCTGCTGGAGAGAAAGATCAAGAGGCTGAAATCGGTGCGTGCACATGCTGCGTCTCGTTCCGGACAAACCGGTCACGCCATTGTGTCTGGCTGGCAAAGGTGGTTGAGCCTGGTTGCTGATACTCGAACAGAGCGCGAGGTCAAGAAGGCCACAAGAGATCTCAACCAACTCCTGAGCAATATCGAATCCCCAATGACGCGGCTCGAGACCGTTCACAAGAAGTATACCGAGCTTCTGGCCGATATGAAGAAGCTGGATCGCGACTATTCCAAAAGCAAGAAACGGGCCGATCAACTCCAAAAGGACCAGGACAAGGGCAAATCCGAACTGAACAAGACGGTTACCATGAAAGATAAACTCGAGAAGCTGTGCAGAGAACTCACAAAAGAAAACAAAAAGGTCAAGGTGGGTAGCTACAAACTCGCCAGCCTCGCACTCCGAGTCGAACAATGCAGAACCAGGGCTAAGGAATACCGTGCACGCACTAGGACGAAAACAAGAAGCTCGAAGAGACTGAGAAGAAAGCACGGCTGATCGTTAACGAGCGCCTCGACTCGCTTCTGTACGATATTCAAGACGTCATGGCTGCCAAAGGAAACCCCCGCAATGAGAAAGTGGATATCGACTTGGATGAAGCGTGAGCTGTCACTCTTCTGCACAACGCGATTTGACTGGGTATGCTAACCTCTTCCCATCATCACAGTCTACGTGCGAAAATCAAAACGATCGGCGAAAAGTTTGAAATGCGCGAATTACACTACAAGGCATTGTTGCGTAGTAAGGATGCAGAGATACAGTGTCTCACCGCCAAGTATGAGGAGCAACGGCGAGTGGCGGAGAACGAAGCTGCCCGCTGTCGGGCATTGAGTTCTCAGGTCTCGACGTTTTCGCACACTGAGGCGGAGTTGCGCAGTCAACTCAACATTTACGTCGAAAAGTTCAAGCAGGTATGGTTTCATGTCTGATGGCTGTTCCAGCCAAGCCTCTATTTTGACCGCTGGTAGTAATAATATCGCAGGTGGAGGATACGCTAAACAACAGCAACGAACTCTTCCTTACCTTCCGCAAAGAGATGGAGGAAATGTCCAAGAAAACTAAGCGGTTAGAGAAGGAAAATCTCACCCTTACACGCAAACACGACCAAACGAATCGCAACATTCTTGAGATGGCCGAGGAGCGTACAAGGAACCACGAGGAACTTGAGAAATGGCGGAAGAAAAGTCACCACCTCGAAGCGCTCTGCCGACGAATGCAAGCCCAAGGACGCGGGCAAGGTCTTGCGGCGGATCTGGAAGGCGATGACGAGGGTACGGAGAGCGAGTACGACGAGGATTATGAAGACGAAGAAGACGATGAGGGAATTAGTGATGACGATTACGAACTGGAAAGCCGGGACGGCGACATGAACGGAGACCGCAACGTTCCCCAGCAGCCCGAGAAGCCTGTGTTCGGACCCCCTCCGCCACCTAATCTACTGGAAGCGCGAGCCAACGGGAATAAGGCGATGATCAACGGATGTCACTAATACCTTTTTTTCGCGCAGAAGTTGTTCTCGAATATGGTCTTTTGGGCTTGTTCTTGATATCAAATGGCAAAGGGATTTCCTGGCAGCACTGACGCCACTGCCGTCAGTTTGAGGGTCGGCGATGGGGCTGATGGCCCTGGATGAAGTGGAAGACGTATATTCTCCGAGGACTGTGAATTGACTAAGACACTGTCAATGCTAGTCTTGTTGCCCTAGGATGTGATTGCCCGGTGCCAGAACTTGTAGTCGCACAGGAATTTACAAGAGAATCGGTGCGAGGCCCCTCATCCAAGACCCCTATCAAGCCCCTTGACCTGCAGTAAGCACTGTCACAGCCACGGGCCCTTTGCGAGTTGTGATACTTTGACGTTTTGTTCACTTTTATTTCTGTTCGTGTACTTGTACATGCTAGATCATCAGCATCCGGACGTACCTATTACGTTACCATGAGAAAATACCACAATTCATGTCATGCCAACTATCACAGAGAGACTTCTTCTGTTCTCATAGTTTACTGACTGGGCCTTGTATATATGAGCCCCCTTTCTTCAGCATCTCAACAGCTTGCTGTACCATTTCCCGTACAATCTCACCGGCTGGCTTGATACTCGCCACACTCGCGGACACGTCCCCCATCAAGAACGGTAGGTCGACCTCTTTATCATTCTTGAGATCATACTCCATTGGGACAATTCCCTGGGCCGTCAACCGAGCGATCTCTTCCGGCCGCCGCTCCCACTCCATCACATAGTCATTGGGCAGGACGCGCAGCGGCCGACCCGAGACGACGAGGGTGCGCATGGTATCACCGAATTTGGCCGCGACGACGGCCTCCTTGTGCAGCCGACTGGCACCGCTCTCGTCGGAGGCGACAAAGCGCGTACCGACCCAGACGCCCGCGGCGCCCAGCATCAACGCCGCCGCCAGGCTGCGGCCGTCGTTCACACCGCCCGCCGCGACCACCAGCGCCGGCTGGCCCGTCAGCGGACTGCGGTACCGCTGCGCCACGTCCACAACCGCTGGAATGAGCACCGAGAACGGAATGTCGCCCGTATGGCCGCCGCCCTCGCCGCCCTGCGCGCAGACTATGTCCACCCCCAACTTCAGCGCCTTCTCCGCGTGCTTCGGCGCCCCCACCATGTTCATGACCAGGATGCCCGCCTCGTGCAGCCGCGCAATGACGTGCGCCGGCGGCACCCCGACCGCGGACACGAACAACTTCGCCCCCTGCCCAATCACCACGTCGATTAGCTGGTCCAGCTGCCCGTGCGTGTAGTCGTGGTTCGTCGCCCGCGCCCCGCCCCCGACCTGTGGCAGTGCCAGGTCCACGCCGAACGGAAGCGATGGGTCGCGCAGCTGCGTTTTCAGCTCCGTTAGGATCTCTGACAGCTGCTCCGGCGTGTAGCCTAGCCCGCCCACCGTGCCGAGCCCACCTGCGTTGGAGACCGCTGCGGCTAGCGCCGCGCTGGAGGCCCGCGCCATGCCGGCTAGGAGGATGGGGTGTTGGATGTTGAGGATCGTGCAGAGAGGCGTCTGGAGGGACATGCTGGTGGTCTTGTTACCTGGGTTTCCTGCTTGGGTGTGGTTCGGTTGTGGTTCTGGTGTTTGGTTGATGTTGGAATAGCGGCGTTGTTTGGGAGTATAGACCGCGGTTAGCAGGAGTGTAAATTGAGATCTAGAGTCTGTCAATGAGATGATGTGGTGAGAGATATGTTCAGAACAAATTGTGGAGACAGTAAGTCAATTGCTTTCTTTTGAATGGCAATGGGTTGATGTCGGTCTTTATTTGAATGAAGGGAGTACTGTCTGTAGTTCCTCGTCACCGTCTGATCGACGCGATGGCTAAACAAATGCGGGGAAGCTTCCGACTGAACCGAGGCATCACCTATCACAGGTACCTCGTCGGTATAATTCTTATTCTTATGCTTTTATGCTTTCATTAAACTCAGTGCTAGTCTTCTGCTCTCCTGTTTGTCCAAAACTTGTCTTTCAAACAAAGGATATGCACGTATCATTACTCTTACTATTGACAGAAGAAGTCGCGAAACGCAGGGCAATCAAAAGACTATCACTACAAGCACAGTTACAAGTGGTAAAGACACAAGACAATCGCGAGTAATCCGACACTCGCTTCCAATGTGATACTTCTTCTTGCCACGCCCGTTTGTGTAGCCCGAAGAACAGTCTGAGCTCTGGTGACCGTGCCAGCCAGGACTATTACTTCCTCTTGTGATCTGCCCAGAGCCACAAGTCAGCATTGCATGGTACCACAGTATCTGAAGGGTTAACACGTACCCTGTATCTCTTGTGCCTCCGTTCGAGCTCAGCTCCTGAGACAGCGCGGTCGGCTTGGCTATTAGGGTGGTTGTCGGGTTCGGTCTTTCGACTAATTCTGGAAGAGGTTGATAGCCCACGGCACCATTTGGCGCCGTGGCAAGCGAGCCTGGCAGGCTCCTGCGTTGTGGGCTCGATGATAAGCTGTGCGAGAGTCTGTCAAGGTACGCCGAGGTGAGGACACTGGCTAGTAGGCTGATAACCACGAAGTTGCGCAACAGGCAAGTAAAGGCAGAAAAGACCCTCATTGTTCAAGCAGGTAGTGACAGCCAATCTGACTTGATCAAAAGCGTTGTAAAGGTTGATAAATCAAGGAATTCAGCATATGACCACTGGATGTTTGACAGCCTGCAACGCGAGAGGGGCATCGAACGCTATATATGACGGTCAAATTCCTCTTCGGGGGCACGAGAGGCATGTTATGCCTGATAAAACATGGCATTCTATTGGTTCCTTCACATAGTTGTCCTTGAAGTGACCGCGTGCGTCAATGCTCCTTCCTTAATACCGCACTCATTTGAGACCCTTGGTCGAGAGCAATGCTCATGGCACTGGCATAAGCCCTTGTCTAGATTCAGTGGAATTGAGAGGGGTAAAACAGAAAAAGCTTCTCATAATTTCGCGTGAATGAACATGGACAAGAATCCGTCGAGGGATCTGACATGCCGAACGAAGATGGAATGCTCCCAAGGCACGTCCACGCCCTATCTCACAGCAATGGGTTGTAGCTTCGGCATTTTCATGAAGCCCTTGAACTTGACCACAACAAAGGAATAATAGGACTGGCTATCGCCAGCTCGTAGCATGCTCTGCGATAGTTTAGTTGTCTGAAGCGATTGAGGGTTCGGATGCTTTGTTAGTCAATTGACGAGGTGTCAAGCTCATCGCATCAAGTCATCGAATTGCCAGCTGGACAGAGAGTAAGACTTTAAGTATGTGTCCATGATACACAGTCACTGGCTATGCAAATGAACTGGTAATCAGCAGCAATACACTATCTTAAACCCAGCGAAGTGCTAGATGTATCTCAGTCTGATGGATGAAGATGAAGGGTGGACCAACCCAAAGCGGGACTGTAATTACCGAACGCCAAAAGACGCGTGGTTCGCGTGGGCGGAGAACAGACTCCAATACAACGCAGCTTTCACCATCTGTTACTCCAAACAACACCCAGCTCCCATTTGCAGCTGCTATCCTTGCGGACATTGCTTCAACTGCTTGGGATAACTCAGAATGGCGCCCGAAAATTCAGAGCAGGAGTTTCTTCGCCCTCCAAGGTCCGCCTGTCCCCATACTACCTGCGCGACGAGAGTACTGACGCTGTCCGAGTAGCGAGCAGAACTTCGAGCCAGTCTACCGCGAACCCTCCTATTACAATCCTCTAAATACCTTCCGACTACCTAGTGGACAAGACAGGCACTACCAGCAGCAATATGGCGACATGTACTTCTTGCGACTGGCCAAGTTGAAACCCGCGGTGGAGGAAATCGCAGTGGAAGCCTGGGAAGGATTCAGCGTCAGTACAATACCCGGTTCATTATCGAATAAAAGCCACAGACTGGAGACTGCCCGATCATTGCAATTCCAAAACAAGCTACTAACAGAGCTTCTACTCGCAGATCGCGGGAGAGAATGCACGTCGTGTGGAAAGAGTACTGGATGTACGGCAGGGAGAGCTCTGCTGGGTTGCAGGCACGATCTACATGGATATGCCACTTAAACCCAATATCCTTGACGACTTGACCAAGGAGGTGAGCCATACCTGATACAATCCTCTGCGCCCGTGCCCTCTTGCTGACTCCGCCATAAGAACTACACTCTCGCCCCTCCTCCTCGCCCAACCTACCAGGACCCCTCCCATCCAGAGTTGACACAGATCATGCTGGAAGATGAATCCGGACGACTGCGCCTAACGGGCAGCGCGCTCAGCTCCACGCAGCTTGCCACTGGCGCCATCATCGCGGTCTTAGGTACGGAAAATGCCAATGGTGATTTCGAGGTCATCGACATCAAGGTGCCCGACCTGCCTCCACAGCCTCGTCGATGGGAAAAGGACGAGGTAGACACTGCTCAGAAAGAGTCTAGCAAGGGCAAAATTGCCTTTATCAGCGGCCTCGGCATCACAGGAACGTCAAGCGATACCCTCGCATTAGAGCTCTTGACGGACTACCTCCTAGGCTACACTGGACCCTCGGAGCAAGAGGACAGCCCGCTACCGAACGCCTCTCTAATCACAAGACTGGTCATTGCTGGAAACTCGCTAGGAACCAGCATGACTACCGATACCAGTGCTGACAATGCAGCTGCTGCGAAGAAGAAGACGGGCACGAAAAAATACGGATACGACGCTTCCGCATACAATGCATCACCCATCACTCAGCTGGACACGTTCCTGGCAGAGATCTTACCCAGCATACCCATTACTCTAATGCCCGGTGAATCGGACCCCGCCAACTTCTCTCTTCCGCAGCAGGGTATTCACCGTGCCATGTTCCCGCGGGCCAGAGCATACTGCGCTCCACCTCCATCGGGCGACGAGAAACAAGAACCCGGTTGGTTTGATAGCGTGACGAATCCATGGGAAGGTGATGTAGAGGGGTGGCGCCTGTGGGGAAGCAGCGGCCAGAATGTGGATGATGTCCTTCGCTACCTCAATTTCTCCGATCCTGAGAGCAACCCTGCCTCTACGGATGGCGATGTTGAGGCCAGAATACGGATTATGGAGGCTATGTTGCGCTGGAGGTGCGGAGTACCAACCGCTCCTGACACCATATGTAAGTCTGAGTTGTCTTTTCGCCTGCTGCGAGATTGAGCTGACTCGAACGTGAAAGGGTCATACCCATTCCAAACACATGATCCGTTTGTGATCGAAACCTGCCCCCACATTTTCTTCGCTGGCAACCAACCGCGGTTCAAGACCGCGGTCATTGAGGGCGATATGCCCTTGAAACTGAATGGCACAGACACCGAAATGACCGGTACAGACGACAACACTCTGGGGCCACGGGTCCGCCTTTTGTCCATCCCCAAATTCAAGGAGACCGGGGAGCTAATCTTGGTCGATGTCGAGACACTGGAAGTCGAAGTGGTCAAATTTGGAACATTTGCTGGACAGCAAGAGAAACAATGATCTGCTTCCGCATGCACTACAAAAAAAGTGGAATGAACTATAGATATCATGAATACCCTAATTCACTTTTTACCGTCCGTCCTGGATCCTGACGCGCTATTCCGCCGACTTGTATAGTTCCTGACAGGGTCGGCCCGATGCCAAGACTCACGCGGAAAAGTTACGGCTTGCCCAAATCGATGGCTTCTAATTGCAAACAACCATCAACCCGGGATTCACACAGTCGTTTCCAGTTTGGAGAATTGAACAGCTTGATTTGCAAGAGATACTCATTGTCATTATAAATTGGTAGATTGCCAGATGTTGCTCAACGAAAAGACCGGTAAGCGGCGGGAAGACGCCCTCAGGCCATGTCCCAGCCAAGCTTCTAATACCTATCTATACAGCCGTTTCTACCTCCAAGGTGCTACTTGTACCATATTCTAAATGGCACGTTCCAAGATATCATGAGTGGATGAAAGATGAGGTATGCCCAGTACTTAATTTCCCCCAGTGTCCTACTGCTCTGTACCTCTTCATATCAAACATCGCATATACTAATCCCGTAAACCAGGAAATTCAAGAAGCCACAGCTTCCGAGCCCCTCTCCCTAGAAGAGGAATACGCCATGCAACAAAGCTGGCGCCAAGACCCCGACAAACTGACTTTCATTGTCTGCCAACCTACGACTACACCACCACCATCAAACTCGGAGTCCAACGATGCCAGCGCGTCCGCATCACCACTCGACGAGACCGCCGACGACCCCAGCCGCATGGTCGGGGACATCAACCTGTTCCTCCGAGTCGACGACGGCGAAGACGGCGAGTCGGATCCCCAACTCATCGGGGAGATCGAGCTCATGATTGCCGAGAAGCGCAACCAACGGCAAGGCTACGGCAAGGCCGCGCTCCACACGTTCCTGCGGTACATCGTGGACCACGAGACTCAGATCCTGGATGAGTTTGTGGCCGGCGATGCCGCCGCTTTGCAGGCGATGACCGGCTGCCAGCAACAACGACCCTGGCGGTTTGCGTGCCTGAGCGTGAAGATCGGACAGGCCAATGAGCGAAGTCTTGCGCTGTTTGAGGGGGCGCGCTTTGAGAAGGTCTCGGCTGAGCCGAATTATTTCGGTGAGTTTGAGTTGCGGCGATTACGAGGGAGTTTGGAGCGTTCGGTGGTTGATGAGGGTTTGGATGCGACGGGGGTGGAGGGGTATCTTGAGTTGGAGTATACGCGTGTTCAGTGAGTGGGGAGGGGTTGGAGGCGGTTGTCATTCATTCTCTAGGGCATTTTGTCTGGCTTGGTATGTTCGTTGCTATATAGTATATCGATCAGGAATTGCATTGTTTTGAGGTCTGGTGGTGTCGCAGGGAGTAGACACATGGTCAGTAGAGCCTCTATCCCAGATGGACACGGAGGAAGAGTACGAAGTGACCCCTGAGACACAAGGCAAGCCGCTGATTGTTGCAAACAGTGAATTGCCAATCATTGTCCGAGGCCACACTACAACTACACCAAATCTGCAATGCCACAACCAAATATCTACAACTTGCGCAAAAATCCACGGCAAGCTAATGATGCTGTGCCAAAGCCATCAGACACCGAACGACGGGCACCTCGCATCAACAGTAACAGCGCTCAGCCATGATCACGGAAATTTCAGCTGTTTTCCTTTCATTTCAGTCGTAAGGATCCGAGGGCAGCTCCGACGGAAAAAAACCGAAATCCGGGCAGGGAGTGCGTTCCCAGTCATGTAAGGATTTTCCGTCCGGGTCCCGATATACAGACGATCGTCATTTGCGAAACCAGTCGCCAGACACAGACACGAAAGATTCAAGCATAATCATCCCCGTGGCTGTACCATCCAAACACAGAAGCAGCATTCCATGCAAACAATGAATCTCGTCCCTCGATGGCTAATCAATTTCCATTTAAATCGGCACACACAAGAATCCGGGATCCATATTTGCTTTTCGAAAAGGGAGGCAACCCCTACCCTATTGCGCCGTTTGCGTTCGATGTTTCCCACTTCCGAGCTTCCACTTCTTCACCTTACTCATGACAACATGTCGAGGATCGATTCGATTCAATTTGGCAAAGGAGGTTGCGTGTTATATTTGTGTGAGGGAAGGGACAAGGTAGGTAGGTAGGTTATTTACAGAGCCTTCTTCTTGTCACCGTTGGTAACATCGACAACCTTGAGAGCTGTTTGTGTTCAAGGAAGAGGAAGGGTATTGACGTCAGCGATTGATGTCCTGTATCCCGAGGAGAACCAAGATCAAAACGCACCAGGGGGCAGGCTCTGCTTGAGCTTGTCGGCCTTGTCGGAGTCCTTCAGGACAAGGGTGTAGACGAAGCGGGAGCAGCGGACCTTGAACTTGATCTGCTGGGTGTTGCGGTTGCGCTTGATGCGGGCAGCTGGAACATGATCAAACGACGCGGGATAGTATTAGCCTTGGGTTGTTGCACAGTGTGTTTCCTCTTCCATTGCAAGTCATGACGGTGTCTTTCCCATGTTGGTCTGGCCCAGGTTCGACAGTCCTTGTCCCCTCTCCGCGGGGGATGATCTCCTTTCACCCCCGCCTTCAGTCAAGACGGGGCGTTTCCAATTCGGGACTCATTTTCACGGAGCGGTTGAATGGTGTGAAGAGGGATAGAGGTGGGGGGGAGAAGGTAGACGTACAGGACGCATCCTTGCGGCGGCAGATCTCAATGAACTGCTTGATGTCGGAGACTTCGCGAGGCATGGTGGGCTAGTGGGTATGATGATGACAGGTGACGGTAGGTTTCGGAGGTGTGAGATCGTGGAGGGAGGAGGAGAAGCTGAGCTGGAACTAGACTATGCTGTGCTGGCTGGCTCTCTCTACCGTAGTATTTCTCTCTAAGCTCACTAAGGCGGGTCCTTCTCTCACCTCGGCCCGTGTGATTGACCGGCTCTGTGTGGGATGTAGGGTTGCCGCCCCCGGAAGCCCTGAGCTTATCCGTGCCACTGTGGCGGTGCTGTAGCCGGAGATCCTGTGGCGGTGCAGGTGCCGACCGCCCTCCGCATCCCCTCAACCGCCACCCCCAAGGCGGCAGCTTTACAGCTAGTTACCGACACCGCAGCCCGGGCAAACTATATCGCTGATCGGCTTGTAGTATATCTGGCCATTTCTCGTTTTGGCTCAAATAAATATCCTAAGCCACCTCTACATCAAATCTCCTGTATTCAGATCATTCAGATCAAACACTACGTGAATAATATACCCAACATGCCGACGCCTTTGGATCGTGCTTTGAACTCCAAGGTACATACACACCATGCGCATGCGCTCGGCGGTGTGCTGTCTATCATGATTAGCTAACATATAAACTTTGCTAGAACCTGTTCCTGGGTATAGTCACGAAGCAGCAAGTAATAGTTTCTTGAGCCAACACTCTAACTTTCTTCAGGGTTCACTGGAATGGTGACAGCTGCGGCCGTCTGGGCCATTTGGGGCAGCGACATGTTCCCTGCAGAGCCAGACCCGACTGGAGGTAAGGATCTGAGTCTCTGCTTTGGGTGCTTTCCATATGTTGACTTTTGCAGACCCCGAAACCTGGTCTTATGATGAAATGCGAAGGTGGCTCCGTGCCGTAAGCGACCCAAAAATCTCCCAGTTCTTGAAACCAGAATGCCGTGTCAGATGAACACCAGCCCACTAACAGTCTTGCAGAGAGGCCTACTGCCTCACGAGAATGCAACACGCGAAGAACTACTTGAGCGCATCAAAGCAAATCTGCGCGTGCCCCGCAGAACCCAGAACTGAAATTCAAGGCAGGGGTGGGCGGCTGAACTCAAAATAGTGTTGTTTCCATTGGCATGTCATCATAGCGTTCCAGGTCGGATTGGAGGTGTTTTTGTTTAACCGCGATGAATTTCAATTGAGCAAATCTCGTCTATTGTCTTCGTTGATTTCGTGGCGCATTATGGAGTTGTTGTTGTCGTCACAACGCCAGGGATATGAGGTGTCGTCATATGGTCGCAAATCGATCCGTCCGTTTCTCTTAGATGGTGACTCCATTTCACATCCTCCACTTAGACAACCAACCGGAAGTTCTGGGTCTGGATGAGCCACTCGCGTCTGCGCTTTCCCTTCGGGCCATCGGCGGTGGGGTTCGGCACCAGCACGAATGTCTCGCTGAATCCGCGCTGCGGGAGGTCCCTGGACTCGCCGAAGCGGACGAAGCCACTGACAATCACGAGGATCGACATGTCCTTGACAGTGGTTTCGCTGGGGAGCTTGAAGCCCGTGGCTGTAGGAGTTGGGTAGGTGCGATTGATGATCTGACAGTCGTAGGATTGCACTTCGTAGTGCGTGGGCGTCATCTGATTGACGAAGATTTCCTGGACGGCGGCGCCATCGGCGACGACGTTGCCGTTGAAGAGAATTGTCGATGCCGGTTGGCTGTAGAAGGAGGCAATCGTGGCGCGATTGGACTGGAGCGCAGGGTAGAAAGAGTTGACGAATTCAGTTGCGGCTGGAGGGGGAGGAAGGCTCCATCAGTAAGAGATCGATGAGTCTGGACGGGCAAGCCAACGTACCGTCCGTGGAATGCTTGATCAGCACGTCTTCCGTTGCAGGTGCCATTGCGAAGTATTTCGCGTGGAGTATATCTCTAGTGAGGTGGTTTGCGACGCAACAATGTGAGGGTGAGTGCCGGAGGGAAGGAGAGAGAAAAGTGGTTGCGGAGAGGAGGGAAAGCGAAGCCGGGCGGCAGAAAAAAAGGCACGGAAGCTTGGACCACCCGGAGACGAGCTTCGGCGAACTTGCAGAAAGTCCGCAATCATTCCACTCTTCTCTCCTTTCTCCCCCAGGTCTCCTCAGCAATGGCGGTGATGAGGGCTGGTGCTTGTGCTCTGCCGTGGGCGAGCCGGCTTTGGGCTTCCAATCGATCCTCCTGGAAACTCGCATCGTGCAAGAGTGCGCTCACCGCGACGACCATTCGTCCGCGTCGATTCGCGACAGCCGCCTCCGAGTCTACTCCGGGGAAGCCATACTATGTCACGACCCCGATTTTCTATGTCAACGCCGGTAAGAGCTTATTGTGCCAATAGTTTGAGCTCAAAAGTAGCCCATGGCTAATGCACTCACTGCTGTAATCTAGCTCCTCATGTTGGCCATTTGTATACTATGGTCCTTGCCGACGTCCTGAAAAGATGGCGCGCATTGCTCGGCGAAACCGACGCTCAGTTACTGACAGGAACGGACGAGCATGGCATGAAGGTACCCCACGACCTACCTCAAATGCATAAATCGAAGCTGGAAGATATCGAAGACTGACTTGTCCACGCTCTAGATCCAGCAAGCCGCTCTAGCCGAGGGAATGGAGGCGCAAGCTTTATGCGACCGAAACTACAAGAAGTTTGAGGTTAGCATCTATCGGTCAAACTGTTAGCTGGTCTTCACCCAAGCTCAAAGGAATTAATTAGGACCTGGCCAAGGCTGCCAATCTGGACTACAACTATTTCATTCGAACAACAGAGCCAGCGCACAAGGAAGCGGTCCAGTACTTCTGGGTATGAGAACAAACGTTTTGCCGTATGCTTCCGCTAACTTGCGTACAGGAAATGCTGCAACATCGGGGGTTCATCTATGCCGCGAAGCACGAAGGATGGTACTCGGTAAGCGATGAGACTTTTTACACCCGGAAACAGGTGCACAAGTCTCTAGATCCGGCAACGGGCCTTACGAGAATGGTATGTTCATATCTGATGGACCAGAGGTACGGATGATCTAGATTGACTCGAATTAGGTTTCGATGGAGACAGGCAAGGTGGTGGAATGGTCCTCAGAAACGAACTATCATTTCCGCCTGTCGGCCTTCAAGGAACGTCTGCTGGACCTGTACAAAACAGACTTCATTACGCCGACAAACTACACGACCAATATCGTCAAGTCCGTTTCTGAAGGACTTCAGGATTTGTCGATTTCCCGACCTGCAGAACGCCTCACGTGGGGAATTCCAGTGCCTGGCGATGATACGCAAACCATCTATGTCTGGGTGGATGCTTTGGTCAACTATCTCACCAAGGCAGGCTATCCCTTTGCTCCGGGCCAAGGGGCCCGCCTCGGGTGGCCGGCGGATGTACATGTGGTTGGTAAAGATATCGTTCGGTACGAGCTGGTCGCGCTGCGCTTCCAAGTATGCAACATGGCTAATTAGATTGTCAGCTTCCACTGCGTGTACTGGCCAGCCCTTCTCATGGCTCTCGATCTTCCGCTTCCCCGCAACGTCCTAGTTCATGGACACTGGACCATGAACCACGAGAAGATGTCCAAGTCCACGGGCAACGTGGTCAACCCTTTTTTCGCGATCGACCGTTTTGATGTCGACACGATGCGCTTCTTCCTCGTCCACCAGGGTGAACTGGCGGGGGATGCCGATTACGATAACAATTACATCATCCGCGATTATGAGAAGGTGCTGCGGAAGGGTCTGGGCAACCTTGCTACACGGACTATTGGATGTGCAAAGGGTGAATTCCGGACCTTTGTCGTCAATGGTACACTGGGACATCTACCCTCGCCGACTTCCGCCGACACAGCCTATGAATCGCAATTGAAGGAGCTACCTACGAAGGTTGCGAACCACATGAACAGTCTCAATCCCCGTGCAGCCTTGCATGAAATTAGAGCTATCATTGAAGCGGTAAGGGACCAGACACGTTTTGCCCTCTTCGTTCTGCTGAGCTCTCGAACTGACTTGACGTACTTCGCATCAGGGTAACAAATACCTCCACAATGCGGCTCCCTGGCAAAACGTGAATGAAGCTCCACGATCCATCTACAATATGGCCGAAACCATCCGAATGATTGGCATCCTGTTGCAACCGGTTATGCCCACCAAATCGAAAGAGATTCTGGATATGTTTGAGGTAGATCCAAAGAGGAGAAGCTTTGCGTCGGCCGAGTATGGATCGGACGCGACCTACGGACAGAAACCCAAGAAGGGTCACCTGTTCCCCCCGCTTGTCAACAAGGGCGAATCCGAGTGATTTTCGATTTGATAACGAATACTGCTCGGGATCCAATCACGATAATTCAATCAGCAGCAAGGCCGGTCAGCCCGGCGTGGGAGCAAAGAGGAGATTGAGCGGATTATATTGGAGTGGAGGTCACGGTCTCCGCACCCAGCGAAAGAGCAGGATTCCAGAGCGTTCCTTTGCCCGATCAGAGCAGCTTTGATTAGGGTTGAGCGAACGGGCGCTGGATTCCTGACTATCCCCCGTCTGCAAGGGAGGGTTTATGTTATGTCATGCGGTGGATGGCGACTGGAGCAAGATTTCGTAAGGTTATCAGCGGGAAAGAGAGTTGCCGTTGGCTGGTGGTGCAGCGCTGGGGTTTGGGGGGGGGGAGGAGGAGATATCGGTTCGGGAAACTCAGGGTTTGGGGTTTCCCGCGGCAAACTGGGAGAGGCTTTGATACGAAAGACCGACTATATCGGGAAGCGTGCGTTGTATATCATTTTGGGGTTTTTATCATAAGGGGAGTATATCAGGTTTGTTTTGTGTGACGGTTGCGAGCATTCTTGGAGAGACAAGATTATCCAGTCATCTCATATCCTTACAGTTCTTGTTTTCTCTCCTCTCCTCTCCTATCTTGTACATTATCATTCTCAATCCTCTTTATCTACATATCAATCACTACTAGGGTTCACATACTTCCTCAAAACCCATCTCATATTCCTCATTGCTGCTCAACACCAAACATACCTTCTCCCTAACAAACCTTAACCTCCCCAACCACTACCACATAGACCAACCAAAATGGGCAGCATCTCCTTCCCCCAGAAACCCGACGCCAACTTCCAAACCCCATGGACAACCACCCCCCTCATCGAATCCAGCACGCTCTCCCGCGCCGCAGGGTGCCGCATCTTCCTGAAACTCGAGAACCTCCAACCAAGCGGCTCCTTCAAGTCACGCGCAATGGGCAACCAGATCCTGTCACACCTCCGCAAGCCCGAGAACGCCGGCCGCGCCGTGCACTTCTACGCCTCGTCAGGCGGCAACGCAGGCCTCGCCGCCGTGTGCGCCGCCCGCACCCTCGGCTACCCCTGCACGGTCGTGGTGCCCGTCTCGACCAAGCCGTTGATGGTCACGAAGCTGCGGCGGGCGGGCGCCGCGGACGTGATTCAGTATGGCGAGACGTTTGCCGAGGCGGGGTCGTATATGAAGGAGGTTGTTATGATGCAGACGCAGAAAGGGTCTGCGTTGGGGGCACAGGAGGTGGGCGTGGAGGAGGACGAGGTGGTCAAGATCGCGCTGCACCCGTTCGATAATGAGCCGATTTGGGAGGGGAACAGTACTATTGTTGATGAGTTGGTGCAGCAGGTTCCTCTGCCACAGGGTCCCGAGGAGGTCGCTGTGCATGCTGGTCGTGCGTTGCCTGTTGATGCTATTGTTTGTAGTGTTGGTGGGGGCGGGTTGTTGAATGGGTTGGTTATGGGGATTGAGCGGGCGAGGAGGGCGGGATGGGAGATGGGGAGGAAAGGTTCGGGTGGTGTTGCGGATGCAGAGGATGGCAATGTGAAGCCTGTGCACCTGCTGGCTGTTGAGACGAAGGGCACCGACTCGCTTGCTGAGGCCCTGCTGCGTCATGAGCTCGTCTCCCTTCCCAAGATCACCTCGCAGGCTACTTCCTTGGGCGCTGTCCGCGTCTCTGAACGGACCTTCCGGTATGCCGTTGCCCCGCCCCCGGGCGTCAGGGTACATAGTGCTGTGTTGTCGGATGCGGAGGCTGCGAAGGGCGTGCTGAGGCTCGCGGATGATGAGCGGTTGCTGGTGGAGTTGGCGTGTGGCGTTTGTGTTGAGGCTGCTGTCGGCGGTTCGTCGTCGTCGGCGTCGGCTGCGCTGACGGGGAAGAAGAGGAAGTATGTGGATGAAGGGTACGGTGATGATCGGCTGTCGGCTGGCGAGAATGACGACGACGCCGTCTCGCCCGTCCGGTCCCCTGCGTCATCTGCTTCTGCGGCGTCGCTGTCGTCGAAGCTGAAGCAGCTGGTCCCCGACTTGAATGAGGACAGTCGGGTGGTGATCATCGTCTGCGGCGGGAGCAATGTCACCATCGACATGGCGGCGGAATGGCGGAAACTGTTGAGTGAAGGCTGGGCTTGACTGCGTGGGGATCATGGTCTTTGTGATATACGAACATATATGTTTTCTCGGTCCAAGAAAAATAGGCTGCGCAGGTTCTCTGTTACGATCACTAATGAATTGATGATTTGTTTAAATTCGCATTGGTGCCATTTATTTGCCGTTGCAGCAGGAGACTAAAAAGAAACAGGATCTGATGTTGAACAGCTGTTGTCCTCTGTTATTTGTCAGCTGAAGTTCTTTTCTGCAACAGTTGCTGAGTAGTCTCCTATAAGATAATGGCAGGACCTTCCGTGCTTGTTCTATAGCGACACTGTTAGACCTGTCATGCAGATGAGTCTTGACCAGGGGAATGCGCGCGTGTGTGTGTTAATATGAGAATCTTCGACATACCTCTTGTCATTTTGCTGAAAATAAGACTCATCTTCTTGTTCGCAATGACACCTGGATGTGCCTTTGCATTATCTTCATGACTTCAGCTAGATTCCGTCATCGCTCCCCTTCGATGACCACTTTGAATCAGATCTCTGCTTAGTCCTACAAATACATGCCTTGGGATACTATGCAGGCGCATGATCATGGTCATGGCCCTCCTGATCGCCCTCAGCTTCGTCATCCTCCTCGTCCTCCCAACCGGAATCCTCTTCTTCCCCCTCAAAGGGGTCAGTGAACGTGACCGGCCCATCGTACTCTTCTTCCTCTTCTTCTAGATCTTCGCCAAGCATTGTGATCATTCCTATCAAGGCTGGTGAAATTGTTATCTCATCGACCCCTGGTGGGGCTTGATCAGAGTCCCATAGACTTCTCCCTGCTGAGGTCGAGCCCTGGGCCTCATCGGTGTTTGAGTCCGCGCTGAGCGTCTTACTGTTGAAAATGGGCGCTAGGCTGAGCACGCGGATAGCTTTCGTTGGGAAGATGCGGGCGGGGCCTTGGTCCGCAGGTAGAGGTGGGACTCCGGGGATATTGGGGAGTGTTTGACGCCACGCGAGAGTCTAGCTCAGATATTAGTCTTCAAGCATGTCCAGATATCCATAAATTAGAGCGGGATAACGTACGGTGTAAGTAGTCATAATCGCATCATCATACAAGGCCATGAAACTGACGGGCACGGTAAGATGCGCTACCGAGCTGGTGACCAGCGAGTACGAACCGCGGGCAGGGCAATCCACATCTTGTACTCTATCCTTGTCATTCAGCGCGACAATATAGGCTCTGTCTTGGATTTCAAACATCACCCGGTGGTTGCGCACAGACAGCCATCCGCCTAGATCGAAGCTTGACCCATCCGACTCGCACTCTATAAGGTCACTGTGCTCCGCCAGACCGGTCTCGCTTTCGAGTGCCTTGCGCCAGCTCGAGCACACGAAAACACGGCCTGCACGGGAGAAGCCCACGAATAGATCGCCATGTAACATGCCAGCTCCCCATTCGTCCTCCAGATTTCGGACGTGCTCGGGGTCGGTCGGTAACGGGAGGGGTCCCTTTTCGACCTTGATCGGGACCAAATTGTCTTTGCGAGATGGGCCCTCACGGTATTTTGATTGTACAGGACCCTGTCGCACAGCATCTGCAAGCCCTGCAAATGCTGCTCTCGTCGAGGTGGTCCCGGTTACTGGTGGATTGATATGATATTTCTCCGTGCAAAGTGACGGCTGCAATGCACCCAAAAACGACCCGGACGTTTTATCGTAGACATGATACCCTCGTGGGCCCATGGAATAGATCACAGCATCCTGGCTCTGGTCCAGATGACCGACAGCATCTGGCTCAATCATCAAGTGTGTTATTAGCTTGGGGGGTCTCTGGGTCATATCGTACACGAAACCCTGTCCTTGAGTCGACACCACGCAGAGTGTTCCGTAAGAGAGCTGGAAGCCTCGAGTCTGACAATTATGATCCAAGATCGCGATGCGCCGGAACTCGCCACGCTTGGCGCCTTCTTCGTCCGCTTGCCAGACCTCAAGTGCATCGCCCTCGCGATCGAACACAGCCATTCCATCCTGATACTCCAGATGCGCATACGGGCGAACTGCATCCTCGTCACGATCCAGCGTTGAGGGAAGGCGCCACAGGTTCGCGCCCGTGTCCATATCGGTGACGTATAGTCCGCCCGCGTGCGAGGTCGAGATGAAGATTCGACGCTTGAAGTCGGCGCGGAAACGCCAGACGGGATCATTGCCGACTTGCAGCACCGATTCTCGGGAAACTGGCTGCGACTCGGCCCAATTGCGGGCGAGAAGCGCCTGACGCTTGCACAAATCCTTGCATGGGTGTTTACCTTCGAGTAACTTGGAGAATGTGGTGTTCTCCAGCCGGGCCGACTGTCCAAACGGCTTGCTATTCGCGAAAGCAACGGCGTAGACGGCCTCTTGGTGTGTGACGTCGATAAACTGATGCCAGGCCTTAGACACGGCGGTAAGAGATGCGAGTGCGGGTATGGAGGTGAACTCCAGGATTCTCAGGATGATCTCTGGAGGTAGAACGGTGAGAGGATCTGCCAAGAAGTCGATTCCGGCCATTCTCACTGCATTGATTGTTTTGTGAAGCAGGAAGTAGAAGAAGTTGCAGAGAGTGGAGGGGTTGCGATGCTGCTGATTCTGTCTCTGTTCACCGCCTCCGATAAGAATTAAAGTTCTTCTTATCGCCTTCTGTCCGCCAAGCATTTGCTATCGAGTTTGGGGAAGACGTTCGATAAACTATAAATAAACTCGAGCATGCTAGAATACATATAACTCAAATGAGTCCCCATCAAGCTTATCGCAAATTCACGCAGAAGCTGTGGCTTCTTGTCCGGCAATAGCCCGAATCCGATAGTCCCAATAGTTCCTCCGAATGGGATCGTACTTTTCCTTCAGCAAAGTGAGCATCTGGACCGCCTCTTGTCCTGACGCCGGTTCCGTCTCTTCAGCAAGCACATCAGCAAGCCATTCCACAGCATGGCTGCTTTTCGCCTCATAGCCATCATCCTTCTTGATCACGAATTTGCCCGCAAAGTCCTTCCATTCCGCTAGCGGTCGGCCTGCAGCACGCAGCACACCCCGCGCGTAAGACCATGGGCTGCGGTTCTCCGGCGCCCGCACGATCTTGGACTGGGCGAACTTCAGCTCGGCATCTACCACATCCTCATCAACCACTGCCAGCCGGCCCTTCTCCGAGGGGCTCCCATCACTGTTTGGCATTCCTGCATCCGGCTCTCCCTCACGCGGCCCAAAACGAAGCATGAATCGATGATTCCAGGCGGAATTGTTCCGGACGTCCGAGGTCAACAAGGCTTCCACGTCCTGGATCTCACGTGGAGCATCCCACAGCTTGAAGTGCCGCACCAACCAATGGCGGTAGGTCCATACATGATAGTTCTTGGAGTCTTGAGCAAACATCTCCATCAGGAAATCGGCCTCTTTGTGCGGGGGCGTCGGGAAAAAGTCCTCGCGTGACACCAAAACTTGGCGATGATGCCTGCCATGGGTTAGATGGTCAATTTCATACGAAACATGGAGAATAGCTGAACGTACCAAATCTGATAATTCTTCAGGTATTTGAGCGAGACACCATTCAGCCATTCTAGTTCTTCCTGTAGGTCTTTCTCTAGAGTAAACAAAATCTTCGCTCGGTAAATCCTTTTTTCCCCTTTGTCAGCCGCGCTTTCAGTAATGCGTGGAGCAGGATCATGGCGGGCTTTCATCCAAGCTTACCAGACAGTATAATGGGCCGGGTTCATGGAGATGATGTCGTGAGTCAGCTTCAATGCTCTCTCAGACATCTCGTTGGCGGCCATCACCGCGCGCAGATATGAAGTGGCTTCGAGGTATGCTGCAGGATAAGCGATGGTGGCCAGAGGCTGGACACCAGACTCGGAGCCATCATTCAGAGGAATTGGTTTGATCGAAGCCCATTCGGGGTCTGATGCATATTTGCCTTCCATATTCAACTATGGTATATAACTTGAGTGTTGGGAACAGTAACACAGACAGCCTTGAAGAAGGATGAACGACTTCTCTCAGACAACAAATGCAGTGAGCCTCACAACGAACAATACTCAAGCTGTGTCAGAATTCGTCACGGAAAAGTGATCAGATTTGATCGCTAGCTCCTTGACTCGCAAGCTCAAGGATCCGGGCCAGCTGCGAGGATAATCGGAGTTGGGATGCAAATGATGCAGCTAATTCCAGAGACACTGGTCACCACGCGAAACTTGCCGGCTGAACACGACAAGTAACAGCCAAAATCGTACAGATACTTAGTAACTTAGGTAGGTTCGGAAGTTGTTTGTCTTTGCAACGACCTGAAGTGATCTGAACATGATGGACTGAGTTGAAAGCGCGACTCAGTCTGTCGGGGAGAGGGTGTGGGGTACGTCTTTTGCCTGAGGCAGCCACGGGACAATATCAAGGCCGCCATTCATTGTTCTGGGCTTTCTCATCTGTCTCCTTTCCTTTCATTGTGACTCTCCCCCCCATGTTCAGTGACTTGATTTGATTGCCATAACCGACATTGCTTCCATCATCTCCAGGCTTCTCTTTATACCAGTCACTGCCCAGTAATCAGCACCCTCCGGCGATTTTGTGTCGAGTCCAGACCGCTGGATTACCGAAAGAGGATAAAATACCCCTACTGGCGGTTGCACCCCCGCACATCCGCGAGCCTTCCTCCCAGTCGCCCAGTCGTCACCTGCACCACCGCAGCAGCGCCTGTCCCTTTCCTTCGCTTTCGCTTTCGCTTCCTGCCATGCCAACACAATCGCTAGTCTTATCCTTAACTTACCATGAACCCGATATCGATCGATAATGCGTCGTGTCAAGAAATCCCGTAATGGTTGTGCGAGGTGCAAGAGCAAACGGGTGAGCTTAGTCGCCCATCCTATCGCTGCTATCAGCTCTACCCTTCCACCTTCCAAAAACTCAAGGCTGATGTTGTCATCTCTCTCTAGGTCAAATGTGGTGAGGAACGACCTCACTGCAGTCGATGCACCCGTTTAGGAGTTCATTGCCCTGGATATGTCCAGTCCCTACGCTGGGTCACCAAATACCCTGACCGAAACCCTGATACAGCCCATGATACACCTGATGACACTACAGCTGAGCCAAGCGCTCAGCCCGATGCTAGACCTCCGGAGAACTTATGTCCCCCTGATAATGTCGACCCCCAGACGCAGCCTCCCTTAACCGTTAACGATGGCTCTTTCAACCTCACCTCACCTCCAGCCCAGGCTGAGATAAGCACGCTCCCACTGGGAGGCCCTCCTGCGTTATGCGATAATCTATGGGATCTGCAACAGTCTGGTACACTTCCTGAGCTCGCAGATCTGTGCCATCGATCCCCAGCTTCTGCTTCACGCCCATCTCCAGTGGCGCAAGACGGCTCACTCTTCCATTTCGGGTCACCCAACCACGCAGACGATCCATTTGGTTTATCCTCCTTAGCAGCTCCAATACTGCAGGACGAGCCTCGCAGCTTCTCTGGATTCTCGCCGTCTACCATCGTACGCCAATATCCACCTCCTACTACGAAAATCCCACAACGAGACTTCACCTCGATCTCTCAAGCGCTGAATAATCCATCGTGGACCCTGATCGAGTACTACTTCAAAGAAGTGGCAGCGCTGTTCTCGAGCTATGACAGCCAGATGAACCCCTTCCGATCGACTGTGTCTCGGTTATGGGGCTCGTCACTGGCCATGTGTCGGACCATGCAGAGCATGGCAGCGGCTACTCTGGTCAACGACTTTCCCGAGTTCGGACCATTAGGACGAAAAATGCGCAACGAGGCCGTCGATATCATCAGCAAAGAGTCCAGCCTGGACGATAAATCCCTGCTGGCTCTACTCATGCTGGGCCAGACAGCGAGCTGGCACGATTCCAAGGATCTTGGGATCTCTTTCTTCAACCTACTGAGGAATCACCTGGACACTCGGCCCGAGAAGAGCCCCATTTCGGGCCGTGGGAACAATCACCAATTTTTCGAAGAGGCCCTGATTTACTGGGAGATGCTCTTAGCCTTCGTGGCAGACGATTCAGCCGTCCTGTCCGGGACCACAGCCACAGGGCCCGAGGAGTCCCTCGTCCTACAGCGCGTGCCTCATCCGTGGACGGGAATTGCGCGTGACACCCAATTCACAGTCCAAGAGGTAGGACGGCTGATCCGCTGCGAGAGAAAGCGGATGCGCTGCCGCACCTTCACCTCGCACGCCGACGTTGCACAAGCGCAACAAGCCATCGAAAGAGCACAGGAGCTCGAGGAGCGACTCCTGGGGCTTGCGCACCCGGCCGAGGCCGAAATCATCAGCCCCGGCGACGACGAGACCCCCGTGTGGCACCTCCTCACCATGGCCGAGGTTTACCGATGCACAGGGTTGATGCAATTATACCGAGTCTTCCCGGACCTGCTGCGTCGACGACTCCGTCCGCAGCGGTCCTCGAGCAGTCCCACCAGCGCCGAGGATGCGTCCATGCACAACAACAGCCGCGACCCCTTCATGTCTCCCGCATTCAACAGCGGCGGCGGGCACTGGTTTTGCGACCCCGCCCTGCTGCACCCCAGCCCCGAGACTACCAGTGCGCCGGCGCCGCCGTTCGAACCCATCCCCGCGAACCCCTCGACAACCTCCTCCGAGTACGACACCTGGCTGACTGAGCTCGCCCTCACCACCCTCTCGCGGCTGAAGACCATTCCGCTCGAGTCCCGCACCCGTTGTCTCCAGCCGTTCCTGCTTGTCGCGTCGAGCAGCGAGCTCCGCCTGCCGCGACTCCCGCCCCTCGAAACCAACCTCGACAGCACCGGCCCTAACATCTCCGCCCACGCCATCGACGTCTCCCAGACCCGGCGGTTCATCCTCGGCCGCCTCACCTCCTTCATGCACGTCCTGCCCCCGAAGCCCATCGGCGTCTGTCTGGAGCTGGTGCGCGAGGTCTGGCGGCGCATGGATGCCGGCGATCCGGAGGTGTATTGGATGGACGTCATGATGGAAAAGGGGTGGGAGACGACGATGGGCTGAGGGCCCAGCCGAGGCCGACTCGTACGGCGCACGCATCATTTCGGCCAAGAAATACATGTACATATACTCATGAACCTGAACGTTGGATACCCAAATATTCTTTCCGTATGAACGAGCTACTACACCTTGCGTAACAATATCCGCGTGGAGCATAAACCACACATAAGCGTCTTGCTTGCAAGAATGGCTAATATTTCCACATGAATGGTATCGACATTGATTAAGACCAGAACTCACATTAGACCGGCGTTCCATATACCTCAATCGCGTATTGTCCCCTTCCACTCCAACCAACACCTAGACTCACAAGGATTGATAACAATAAAAGAAAACAAAATTTGGTTTTGACAGCCCCGCAATGTGAAGTGGAAGAAGGGGGGGGAGGTGGAACAAAGAATGGAAAACCAGGGAGTTAAAGTGGAATAATCCGTGCAAGAGGCATGCATGCCGAGGTGAAGTCCCAGGATAATTATGATACACAGAAAGGAGAAGAAATTGATAAAAACCAAATGAAGAAGACAAGGAGAAAGTAGAAAATGCTTCAGATGGGGTGATTAAACGTAAGTAAATAAGATGCAATCATATAATGCTCGGTCCGCCGTTGGGGAGCAAAATGCTCATGAGAAGATACCACGAATGAGTGGCGACGAAAGGAGTTCGTGATCGATGCAGCAGAAACACAGACGGCTTGTTCATACCGCCCGTCTCCAGAACTTCCAGCCTTCGCGTTTTTCGTGAACGCCGACACCGACGAGTCTCTCAATTCCTTCGGTGCCGTCTGCGTTCTCGAACTTCTGCTGGTCGATCTCCTCGCCGCCTTCCTCGTCGGTGCCGTTGCGCAGAACTGCCGGCCAGAGCACACCGACACCGTCACCGCCTAGGGTGGTCTCGTATTTCGCAAAGTTCTCCTCGGTAAGCTGCTGCTCGAGCTGTCGTAGAGACTCCTCACTTGCATCCGGGCGAAGAAGGGAAATCGCACATCCACCACCACCAGCACCCGTCAGCTTCGTCCAGCCAATATCGGCAAAGTCAACCAGCTCGCGGATTCGCTCCAGTCGCGGGTGTGAGACGCCTAGGGACACAAGCAAGCCATGGTTGATGCGGATCAACGAACCGAAGCTTTCAAGTTCCTTCGGGTCAAGGGTTTTGCCATCCGCATCCCTGATGGCGTCTTTCGCGGACACCGTTACCTTCTCGATTGCGTCCAGCATAGATTCGGTCACGAACGGGTGTTCCTCCTTAAGCTTGCCTACCTTAGCGACCTCGACTGCTGTGGACCGGGCCTGACGGGTGTCCACCAACCAGAGAGGCAGTTCGGGGAAGTTGGGCACAGGCACCACCGTGGGCGGCTTGGTGTAGTCTTCGCGCCGGAAGAAGACGGCCTTACCGCCTGCAGAGACTGTATTATCCACCCCACTCGGGTTGCCATGCATACACATTTCGCCCACGAAGGCCCATCGGTTGATGCGCTCGATTTGGAGCTCCGCCTCGTCCGGGGGTTGGTCGGGGTGAGGGCCGGCTAGTGTGCGGATTTGAAGCAGTAGGGCTGTGCTCATACAGACGCAGATACTAGCACTGCTACCGAGTCCAGCGCTGATGGGGATTGTAGAGCGCAGGGTGTAGATAGCGCCGTGGCTCTGAGGAGAGCCCAAGGAGCAGAAGAGATATAGGAATGCCAAGGCCGAACGACGGTGGATTTTTCGCAAGTCCTCCGGCGCATGGGGCGATACGTCTTCGACATGGGGTAACAATGCATCGTACAGTTCGGAGTCGAGGGAGGTAACCAGGTCGTAGTAGTACTTCTTCTTGGATGGCTGTTTGAAGAGCTCCCACGGTAGCTCGTCGATGTTCCAGGTGTGATCGAATTTGATGTCTCGGAAATTTAAGGTGATGGTGCGCTGTGACTTTGACAGGGTGGTGACGAGGAAGTAGGAGCGGAGGGAGATGGCAGCAGCCATGGCTGCCTTGCCGTACACAACGGCATGTTCTCCAAAGACGATGACCTTTCCGGGGGCGGACACCATGAACGGTGGGGCCATGGGAGATGATGCTTTCCGGGCCATAGCTTTCTTGACAGAATCGGTTCCTAGGGTGGGGGAGGTCGCAGGCAGACTAGATGTGGTAATGTTGGTGGTGTTGGTGGAGGTGGTGGAAGCAGCGTCGGAGGTGTCAGGGCTATCATCGCAGACGGTAACCGTCTTTGAGCGCGGGGGGAGGGAGGATGGATCCGAGATAAGGTGGGACATTGTGCGACGTTGACCAGTCTTGGACGCTCTTAGGCTGCCGGGTTTGCGACGACCGCGACCGTTGGGCATTCCTGGTCGAATTGACCTGAAGGGGTGGTGGAAGTGTGGAGGAGATCCAGGCGGGTCGTCGTTGTTGGAGGGCGGAGATAGAGATGGATGTAAGGGAGAATGGCGCGAACGAATGTCGAAGTTGGCAAGGACAAAGGCAAGGAGTAAGGGAAAGGAGAGACTAGATGTTGGATTGAGTGAAAAGCATGGCGCTTAGGAAGGAAAATTAAAGAAAAAGAAAAAGAAAATAAAACAGCGACCCTAAACAGGATAGAGAGGGAGGGTTTCTGGGGGGAAGGAGGAAGGAGTGAAAGAAGAAAAGGGGAATGTTTGCTTGACTGCCAGGTGACACTCTCAGCTCAGCCCAGCTCAGCCAGTGTAGGGGAGATTCCACACGCATGCTACTTCTTCCAACTGGACAACTTAGATTGGGGTTGATCGTGCTTGGGGGGATTCCTGCCTGAGGTGTCTGAATTCCCACTCAGATCCACCAATTACATCTCATGTAATGCTCATTACTCACCGGCGGGTATTGTTTGTTCGGCGGACTACTGGGATGGGATGTCTTTGGGAACAACATTACTCCAATTCTGAGTAAAGACTGGATTCTACACGGTAGTCGTGAGTCTGCTTACGCTCCCTGCTGTCGCATGACGTCTTTGGAGAGCTGCAGCTTGGCTGTAGTTCATTTAACTCCGTATGTTGTTTCGATTTCCAAACTTTTAGCCGAGATAATCAATCGGCTACTGTCGGTAGGCATTTACTTGAGAGTTGCCCACCCCAATTGGAAGTCCAATAACTACTAGGAGGTGTGAGCAAAGAAGAAAGCATCCACAGTAAGCTTAATTCAAGCGTTCCTAAAACATGGCTACACTCATTGGCCTAGAAACAGTCTGAAAACTCGCCCGGAGTTGGGTTGTATTCGACATCAACGAGTTCGACTTCAGCATTTATTCTGATCCCAGGAATAATCAGTTCTCTCTCACCATTCTTACCAGTTGAAACCAAATGAGGAAAAAAGGGTATCATACCTGCATCGGTGTAGCCGTCGTTAATGCAATATCCACGACAGCATCGAGAATTCCACTCGCAATTGCCCCGTTGATAGAAGTTATAGCCCGGTCAACAGCGATGGCAACGATCATGTCGGCCATAGTCCCGGATCTCGTAGCAGCAGTCACGTTGACCAGCCACCGCGGCCATCAGGCTGCAGCCGATGAGAAGATACAGAATAGCGCTGAGCTGCATGGTGATCAAGGCAAGTGCTAGGTGTAGTCTTCAGGGAGATTTGACTTGTAGGTAGAGGAAGTTCGAATGCCTGGAAGGAAGGAAGCTACTCCCCATGATGGACAATCTCAGCCCACCTTAAATACTCTTGAGCTTCAGCCAAGATCTACTCACAATACTTCATCTTCCAAGTGCTACAGACGTTCAGCCGCAATCCAGAGTGCAATCGGAAAGTTTTGAGAGGCTCTTGAGAGTCAATCCCCCCGCTCGGACAATTTACTTGTGCAGCACAAGAGCCAGGGCATCGCGATCAGCTGATTAAAACGCTTGCTCCGCTCAAAGTCTTCTACGCTCGTAGAACGCAGTCTTGTAACAATGGCTTTATCTTCACGGGCTGGTTGGTAGTGAAGATTGTGGTTCGAGTTCAGCAAGTAGCTATGAACATCTTTTTGGCTGTGAAGTTGACGGTCTCGGTCGCTTATGTCTCACTTCTCGGAGGGTACGTCTTCTTATACCACGGTCTCCTCATCTTGGCTGTGTTCTCATATGGTCTGCTGGTGCCGTCGCAGCCACTGAACATCACCTCATCGTCATGAAATTGCTCATGAGAGGCTGCTGAATGTGTCTGCAAGTCTAACGTAGCGGCTCGCAAGTATCCCTGATGGGATACTGGATGCTTCATGCATGCTCAATTAGAGATGTGGGAGGTGCTTACACTATTCCTCAATCAACAAGGTGTTAACGCCTGGTCTCATGCACAATGGCATCACAAAGCCAGATCATATAGCAGGCAACATACGGAGATGCAATAACTGAATAGAGTCTTGTCGGCTCAAAGATGGTCACCTGAGACCTACCTATTATAAAGCATCCGAGCCGAAACAGCTACGAGCTGTATTCAAATGGCGGACTGGTGCATGAACACGCAAGCCAACGTGCCGTAACCCTCCATAACGGAACGCCTCTGGGACTGCCATTAACGACCCCTTAGAAATTGAATGGCCAAATTACCCCGAGTTTAACGCCATGTGTGTTGCGATAGAGGCGTTGGACATGATAGTCTTCCTGTCCGGTCGTATTGACGAATCTGTGTTCGACAAGAAAGAGAATGCATGGCACAAGCAGCATGTCCTCACAGCTGCTGCCATGCCAAAAGTGCTGAGCCTTAACGGTATCATTCTCGATGCCCTTACACTGCATCGTTTCTTGATGAGGTTATTGCAAGACATCATCGGGTTGGCGGGCTCTACAACCAGGACAACTCCTTCGGGACTTCTATCCGGCCATACACGAGGCTCAATTTGCATATAACGAGGCGCCTTTTGGGCACACGTCACAGCCTCCTTTCTTTGCCGCAAAGATTCTCCAACTTTCTATGGGGCTTCTCGCTGAACGTGCGGAATGGGTGCCGCACAATTTTGGCTGGTAGGAGGCGGCCATGAGCACTTCCCCGACTTCCCCGACTTCCAGGAAGTATGTCTCTTTGGTTCAGATGACAACCTCAGAGCCTTGGTCAGAGTTAGCAGCCTGTACAAATCTTTGGTAAAAACCTACTTGTTAGTCACTTGCCCCGGGGCTCGATGCAAGCCACAAACTTTGATATTACCAACTGGGCATATGGCAGCAGATGGCAGCAGGTGGCAGTTCTGCGGTCAGTCACAAGTAGACTGCCGACGATATTCTGCAGAGAACAAAGCTGAAGTAAGAGTACGTCAGAAGTGGAGTTTGTTGACTTTAGCTGCAGTGCATTGAAGCAGTGGTTCCAAGTTCCCTGTCAAATTAGTTTGCCGCAAGGTCTTTCCTTCACGGGAACAGTGCACTGGATTGAGTTCGTCTCCTGCAGGGAATGCTTTTCGTTACCGCCCGGAAACTCGACTCTACATCCTTGTTGACTAGCTTCAAAGCTCACACTGCCACTTCGCTGTTCTGGATCCAACGAAAGTGCATGATGAGTTCATTGATTGCCGGAACTGGTCAGAGCCTCAGAGCTGCGATTCTGGGACATGTGGTGCTTTGGACAAGTTAGCCATGGAGACGGACGGTCTATAAAGAAGGCAGTTGCGCGCGTTGCCTATCCTCCATCATGTGAGAAGCAATCATCTGGAGCGAATTCAACCATTCTGTCGACTGCACGATCTCAGCTAGAGCTACGGAATCACAATAACTACACATACAAGCAACATGGCACCCCATCCGAACGCTATCACCCTGCTCGGTGCAGGCACACAAGGCTCACGTCTAGCCTACATGGTATACTCTGTCCAACCCCATCACAACTCCAATTCAAGGTGCTAAACACTGTCATCAGTGGTCTCGTCTCGGGAGACCTGTTTACCTTGTCGATAAAGACTTGGACCAGCTATCCAAAGCATCTGACACGATCGAGGAGCTGCGCAACAAGGAGACATCACCCTACAAACGAGGCCCAGTTCATGGGCTAACGATCGCCGAGCTTGACAAGGCGCTTCGCGAATCTTGGCTGGTCATCGAGGTGACTATCCTCCTTGGAAGCTATATGTTCTTTCCAGTGTTGCAGTATCTAACCCCCAGAAGTGTACTCCAGAGAACCTGAAATGCAAACGATCCGTCATCCAGCAGCTCGACAGCCAAGCCGATCCAGACACCATCATTGCGTCCAACTCTAGCAGCCACTCGATCACCGAGGTCTGCGAAGGCATGGGGTTCAAAGCCAATGACCGATTCGTGAACCTACACTCATGTTAGTTCTCTTGCTCCCATCCATATTGGAAAACAACCCAAAAAACATGCAAACTAACACCAACCTCACCGTCGCAGTCTGGCCACCAGAAACACAAGGTACATAACACCCACCCCCTTCCCTTCACCTACGCCCCCTCCTTCCAAACAAAAAAAGTAACACCCCCCAGTCCTCGAAATCATGGGCACCGACAAGACCCGCCCGGACATCATCCCCCTCCTCATGAATGAATCCCGCGAGCACGGGTTCCTCCCCTTCCACGTACGCAAGGACTCAATGGGCTACATCTTTAACCGGTAAACCGACCTCAATCCAGATTACCGCAAAGCTTGCACAGCCACAGCTAATCCGCAATCCTAGAATCTGGGCCGCCATCAAGCGAGAGACCCTGATGGTGCTGGACGAAGGCATCGCCACCCCCCAGGAAGTTGACGAGATGTACAAGGCCGTCCTGCACGCCCCCAAGGGCCCCTGCGAACAGATGGACGTGGCCGGCCTCGACGTCATCCTGGCGATCGAGGAGCACTACGCGCAGGCTCGGTCGGGGATCCCCGATGGCCCGCGGAAGTATCTGCGCGATATCGTGGACCGAGGCGACTTGGGGGTCAAGACTGGGGCTGGGTTCTTTGACTATAGTGCCAATGCGTGAGAGCTTAGTAGCTTGTGGGAGGGGCATGGTTGCCTTTTTTTTGGGTTTGTTGTTTGAAAGCTGTACCGTACATGACTTGATATTATATTCGATTTATGCGAGTTCGTTTGTGCACTGTCGATTCTGATTGTGTGGTTGGTTTGTAGCAAATACTAAACGGTGAGGTATATTTTGACTGACGGTGGTAGTATATATTTCCCTCGCTAACCCAACCAACACCAACTCCCGCACTTGTCCCCACATCTCTCATCTGGAGTACTGGCTCAGAATCCGCCCGGATATATTTACCAACCATCTTGGCTGAAGCGAGCATATAAAATCAAATGGTATCGTCATTGCTGATACAAATTATATACACACATATCACACAAGCGAATGACCTTGTGAATCTCCTTTCTCTTCTGTTCTCTTTGTATTTCTTCTCTTCTCTTGCACATCTTTTCATCTTTTTATTTTCTTTTTATATTGTCCATTCCACCACCAAACTAAAATCACAGATTCATCGTCACAGTCATACTGTTACTATGAACCAGCAAGCAAGGCGGCAACCCCTGCCAGAAGATCTCCAGATCGCTCAGATACGACGCACTGGCCGCCTCGCTCTGCGCGGTCCCCTCCGACGGCGACGGCAGCGTCGTGAAGACCACTGCCGTGTGCTCGCTATGCCGCGCCATCAGCTCGTTCAGGATCAGATGCTGCGCGCGGCTGGGGAGGTCGTTGAACGAGAAGGGCACGGACGCCTGCTGCGGGTATCCGGATGCGGCGGCCGCTTTCGCCGCGAGGATGGCTGACGGGCCGGAGGAGGAGCGGCGGGTGTAGATTGAGTCTACGCGGTGGTGGGAGGTGGAGCGCGGCGGGGACGAGCTGGCGGCGAACATGATGGAGGGGCCGGCGCCGTCTTCTTCGGTGTTGACGCGGGCTTCGGGGATTGGGGAGGAGCTGAAGCGGTTGCTGGAAGGGGAGCGGGAGGGTTTCGGTCGCACGGGGATGGTCGATGGTGAGGGCGGTGTTTGGGGCGTCCCTGCTGCGTCTGGGCTGGTGTCGGCTGTCATGATGATCGAGGGGACGGGTTGGTCCGGGGCGATGGCGTCGGACGATGAGGATGCCCTTTGCTTGGCTTTGATGGTGCCAGGTGCTAGCTCGGAATCTTGGGCGGCGTCGTCGTTCTGTTGCTCGCCTTCGTCTTCCGAGTCGTCGTCATCGCGATAAGGTTCGAATTCCTCGTCGCTGCTATCGCTTGTGCTGGAGTCGCTGGAGACGTCGTAGTCCACGAGAGCGTCGAGCAGGCGGTGCGTCTGCATGCCGAGGCTGACGCTGCCGAGACCACGGAAGCTGGAGATGGATCGTCGTCTTTTGGACGACTGCATGAGCTTCCTCAGCCCCCCAACCAGGTGCGGTGGTGGTCGCTGGATACTTTCCGGACTCTGAACAGGCCAACTGGACATCCTCTCCCTCGAGTGCGCGATTGCGCCTAGTTCGGCCTGATTCTGTGCTTCGTGGATGCTACGCGCCCGCTGGGTGTCTTGCCACCAATCCTCATCCTTGAGAGCTTCGTGTACACGGTCTGCATAGCCCTCCGTCTCGGGAGTTATCTCGCCATTCACAATGATGCGGTACGCTTTGAGATCGCCACATGCAAGCCAGAACACCAGAACCTCGGCTTCAATTCGGAGCTTTTCGAGCAGCGCCTCAACTCTGCCGCGTTCGTCTTCGACATCAGTCTCGTACTCAACGAATACCGCTACCCGTAATTTGTATGTCTTCTTCCAAGAGGGTACGGTGTTGAGAATACAACCCAATTGCAGAATCAGCGTGTACGTGTCAAAGTTCGTAGTCAAAACGTTCTTCTTGCTCTCGGTGTCCGCGCCTAGTTCTGCACTCATCTGGATCGGCCAGAGGTCAATATACTTCTTCGCGTGCTGTCCGTGCGGGCCGGGAAGCTCCAGATTCTCGAACCCTTTGGCTACAGCAACATTGATGCGCAGCTTGAAAAGTAGATCCTCCAAGATCGTCACATAACTTCTGCAGACCATTGGCGTTTTTGGCGAGTCTTCCATGTCCGTAGATGCTTCACGCGAGACGCGTCTGCTGCCTGAGTCTTTCCGTCCCGAATCTCTTCGGTTCGTGGGTTGATATCTTTCCACCAACGACCGGCCTTTGCGGAACTGGTCGATGATGACAATGTTTGGTCGCATGCCGCCTAGCCCCGCACTCAAAGCGACATTGCGAATTCCCCATTCCGGGGTGGGGGAAACTGTGATGTTAACGAATGCCTTAACTCGAGAATTCTCAACAAATTTGGTCCATGCACTCTGTTGACGGCGGGCTTCCGGCACGGCTGCGGAGAAGTCGTCTGTGACAAGGACATGACCTAACACAAACAAGCCGCCTTTCTTTAAAGAATTGCAGAAGGAGATCATCCGAGATTGTTCTTCCAGGCTGGTCACAAACAACAGAATCTGGGGTCGCCAGAATTTAACGTGCTCTTGCCGAAGCCGAAGTAGATACTTTCGCACCTGGTGGTAGATCAGGCTCTGGCTCACATCGCCCCATGGCTTTGGCGGTGAACTATAGTGGATAAGGAGGAAGAGTAGCATCAGTATCGCGACGCAGCCAGAAGCGTAGACGCCATCCACAAAGAACATGCTCGCGCCGCAGACCAAGGTACCTGTTGCTGCTGTCTGCCAATTGAAGTAGTGAAAGGATGGCCGGAAATTTGGGGCAGATCCGATCTTCAGTAGAAAACAGGCGAGATTTGTTACCAAGAATGTCATTAGATAGGTCATGGTGACAAATGAGGCAATTTGATTGATGTCGAACAGCATCGTGACCTGGGCGACTATGAACGTTATGATAATCGCGTAGACAGGCTCATCGGCCTTCTTCGTGCCCTGCCCAAAGACCCCGAGTCCGGGAAGCAGACCATCTCGCGCAATAGCCTGTAGCAGCTTAGCTGACCCGATGACTCCCATCAATGAGGAGAAGAAACTCGTCGCGAACTCCCCCATGAGGATAAGAGCCCCCGAGAGATTAGCCTGTCGCACAGTCAGCACGTGGTGATGCGTTTAGCTTGGCCCGATCACTTACTACTTGTACGACATTGGCATTTTTGTAAAATGACTCCCGTGTTATGGATGCAGCCATGGCGACGATGACCAAAGTATAGGTCACAAACGTGAGCCCCAAGCCGCACAGAGTACCCTTCGGGATGGACTTGCTGGGGTTTCTCAGGTCTCCAGACATACTAGCACCGCTGCTGATGTGTGAGTCTCGTACTCTATAGTCTCGGGGAGAGCACCTACGCGAAAATACCCCCAGTAGCAGGGAATAAGATACCAAACAGGTCTTGAAAATTCTCACGACCTGGGAGCTGGCTGCCCGCCGCGCCTTTAGTGAGCTTGGGCTTGAGATTTTCTAACAACGTCTGTAAACGGAAACCCGTGAATTCGACCCCAATTTTGGGGATACTGAACGGTTTCATGAATACTGCAGACAAAGGTATGCTGAAGGTTGCAGCAAGCAAGATCACCAGCAGTCCGTTGCTGGCTCTGGAGAAGATAGAGCTTCCAGCCAAGCATATGCCAGTACATAGGACCAGAATGATGGTTCCCCAGAGATACTGCCACCAGAAGCCCTCTTCAAGGAAATTGGCCCAGGTACCAGATTCTGTGCCAAAATTTTGCTTGAAACAATCAACTAGACCCACAGCGTTCATGCCAGTGTTCAGCACATATCCGAGATAGAACACAATCCCAATGGAACCACCAAACTCGGGGCCTAGTGAGCGCGAAATCAGGTAATATGCGCCGCCACCTCGGACCGTACCGTTAGTCGCGATAGCGGAGAGAGACATCGTCGTCACCAGGTTGATGGTGTACGAAATGGCAAGCAGACCTTATTCCTGTTAGTCAACCATAGGTCTCCAACAACAGCATGCATAAGATTACCAAACATTCCCAGCAGTCCAGCTTGCCCAAGGATGAATCCGAACCTGAGAAACATCAAAATGCTCAAGACGTTCAAGGTCGTTGGTACGAAGACCCCTGAAAACGTCCCAAGCTTGTCATAATTTTCGGAAACTCGTTTCTGAGCCTCGCGCTCTTTCTGGTCTACGCCAGACTCTCTAAAGGGCCCTGAAGCTGGGGGTGGAGGAAGGATCCTTTCCCTAGGGAAATCATGCCTTCCATCACTGCCCTGCCCTCCCCACCATTGGGTGGCATTACTGAGGACATTGGTAGGAAGCGAGTGACGGTGCCGCTCAGGCGAATGTGGAGATGAGCTCAGCGGTTCATTCTGACGGTCCTGATGATTTAAACCTGCACTTTTCCCGTGGAAGGCTTTACTACTGTCTTCTGGTGATGCTTTGGTCGATTCGCTAGGATCTAATCTGGAGACATCTTCTTCAGCGGTGCGCGTGGAGAAATTGGGCCTCCGTCGAGACAGAGAGTCCGAAGAATTGCCGACCCGCTGGTCAGTCATCGATTCCAGCGCCTCCACTCCTTAAGTAAGTGTGCGTCCACCTGGCCTGCATGTAAGCACCACCGATAGACTGGCAGGGGTGTTGCGGTGCGTAACAGTCAAAGTCGGGGGAGGATTGAGGTAGGAGGAGAAGGAGGGGGGGGGAGGGGGGGAAGGGGAGTGAAGGCCAGACTAGGCGATAGAATATGCTGCTGACCTGATCACGAGGAGAGTAATGTGATGACAGCAACAGCAGCAATTCTTGTGTAACGAAAGAAGAGTGGAGGGGAGGATGTCAACCGCGTGTGCGTATTCTTGAGGAAAGCAAAGCAACTCAACTTTATCTCCAGATTGTCGGGCGGCGATGACCTCATGTGTCAAAACAAACAATGCAAATCCTCGTCTCCTCTTTCGTATTGCCTCGTCTACAATCCCTCGGCTGTCTGCCTTACTTAGTTTCAATACTACTTCCTCCTCCTCACCATATCCACCCCCCTGGTTGGACCTCTCGCCCGCCTCGTCCTTTTTCGGGTTGCGTTGGAAAACAGACTACCTAGCTAAGTCAAGTCGCAGGAGCCTTAGCTAGTTAGTGTCCCTGTCGGTCTAATGCGGTGAATGGATTGTGGCTTGCACTTATCCCCGTCTTTCTTTCGACCTACAACTCTCTTTCTCTCCCCCAAACTCTCCGCTCTTATCAATCCACTCTTCTCCTCAAACCGGTTATCCCTGAATCTTGGTTCACTTCCGAAGAACTCAAAATAGACGAATAGTTTTCGGGATTATTCAGGGTTCTCTGATCTCTGCACAAGGACAGTTTCTGAACCATCTGCCAAAATGTCATCCCCAAAGGCATCCGACAATGGGGAGGGCTCCTCGTCGCTACGGCCCCGTTCATCGTCGCCAATCTCCACCTCCGCAATGCGATCGAGATCTCCTGCAACTGACGCCTCTGTGAGGCATGTTTCTATCGCACGCCTGGCGTCGCCAATCCCCTCTCCGTCCAATCAGTCCTACTCGTCCAGGCAGGTGCCCGTGCCCGTGCAGCCGGCAAGCGGCGCCGTCGAGGATTATCGCAAAGTCGATCATTCTTCCTCCATACCAGGTCCGGGTCATTCGATGATTTCCTCTGCTCTTCAGGATTATATGGGTAGATCGCCGCCAGCAAGAGTAGGGACTCCGCCCAGACAAACCGCGTCTCCTGCCCTGCTCAATCAACCCATCCGATCGAACTACGGCTCCTTCGATGGACGAGAAGGCTCGGAATATTCGGCAGGTCCTTACGAAGATCCAGAAGTCATCAAGCGACATTTGGTGCAACCTCAAAATGGGGACGGCCGGGACTACTATTTCTCAGGCGATGCTGCTAGTAACGCAGATGACGAGTTCTCCAGTCTACAACTGCAGGGTGGTGATATAACCAGGCAGGTTTACAGGTGGGCGGAGGACGCAGAATCAGGAAACTCCTTGCGCAAACCTCAACGCAGCAGGAGTTTCAGCCATAACCGACCACTGCCCCAAGACGAAACGATGAATATCAACAGCATTCGTGTACCGGGAGGGTTTCGCAGAGACTATCTGCGAAGAGCTGTAGGCCCCGGGGACTCCGAAGACTCGGGGGTGCAGGCGCCCGTCAGTCAACCTCAATTCCCGACAAGCAGCTTCCTCGAATTCTTGACCCTCTATGGTCACTTTGCAGGTGAGGAGCTGGAAGAGGATGATGAGGTGCTGGGCCCTGACGAGTACTTCTCGTCTGATACCTACGATGAAGCGGAAGGTAGAGAACCTGGCGAAGACTCCGCTCTGCTTCGCCCGGATACTGCTGGTAGGAGAAAGCGCAAGCCGCGTGGAGGTACTGGAAACAACACGATGACTGGTGCGGCTCTTCTCCTACTCAAATCTTTTGTGGGAACGGGAGTCCTGTTCCTCCCGAGAGCTTTCCTGAACGGAGGAATGTTGTTCAGTAGCATGGTTCTGCTAGGAGTGTCACTTCTCAGTTTCTACTGCTTCATCTTGTTGGTCAGTACTCGACTGAAGGTCGATGGCTCATTTGGTGATATCGGTGGCCAACTCTACGGTAAACACATGCGGCGCATCATCCTCGGCTCCATCGTCCTGAGTCAACTGGGTTTCGTGTCGGCATATATTGTGTTTACGGCTGAAAACCTGCAGGCCTTCGTCCTTGCTGTCAGCAATTGCAAGTCTTTCATTGACATTAAGTTCATGGTTTTGCTGCAGCTGGTCATCTTCCTGCCTCTTTCATTGATTCGCGATATCAGCAAACTTGGTTTCACTGCACTGATCGCCGATCTGTTTATTCTGCTTGGTCTGATCTATCTCTTCTATTACGATTTCCTCACCATCTCGAACCAGGGTGGGATCTCCGACATCATCTCCTTTAACCCATCCACGTGGACTCTGTTTATCGGAACAGCTATTTTCACATTTGAAGGAATTGGCCTGATTATTCCCATCCAAGAATCTATGAAGGAACCCCACCGCTTCCCTGGCGTCCTGGCCGGCGTCATGGTCATCATCACGATTATCTTCCTTTCAGCTGGCGCTGTCAGCTATGCAGCCTACGGTTCCGCGACCAAAACGGTTGTTATCCTGAACCTGCCCCAGGATGACAAATTCGTGAACGCCGTGCAGTTCCTCTACTCCCTTGCCATTCTCCTGAGCACCCCGCTCCAGCTCTTCCCTGCCATCCGTATCATGGAGAACGAGCTGTTCACGCGCAGCGGAAAGTACAACCCGTGGATCAAGTGGAAGAAGAACTGTTTCCGATTCTTCCTCGTCATGATCTGCGCGTTCGTCGCCTGGGGCGGCGCCGAAGATCTCGACAAGTTCGTCTCGCTCGTTGGAAGTTTCGCCTGCGTGCCGTTGATCTATGTGTATCCGGTAAGCTCTCAGCTTCTCATCTCTCTCTCCCTTCCCCGACACTAACAAAATCCCCTACAGCCTCTGCTCCACCTCAAAGCCTGTGCGCAGTCTCGCAGGCAGCAAATCGCCGACATCGCACTGGCCATCTTCGGTGTTCTCAGCTGCGTGTACACGACCTCCTTGACGCTCAGCAACTGGATCGGCGGCGGAGACGTCAAGCCGCCCGGTTACTGCGACTCGCAATCTGTATAGATGTTCCACGATCTGTCTTCCCGACCCTTTCCTGGAAGGTTTAACGAACCGTCCAGTACGTATGTGATGGACGCTACCATGAAGCCACTACAAATGCTATTGTTGATACATATTTCTGCCCGTTCGATTACAATCATGATTGTCTCTGTGCTTGGATACAGGACCGTTTCTCAAGACCAACTCAGCCTGTTTCTTTTTCCATTGTTCCTTTTTGTGGGTTTTACTCTGGCTATGTTTGATATAGACTTTAGACGAGATTGCCAATTTTACGAATATACATCACACCTGATCGTCCAATAGACACTTGGAAGCTTTAGTACAACCCACGAACCCCTCCGCACCACCCAGCAAAAATGACCTACAAAGAGGAACCAAACCCACCCAAACCATTCTCAAATTCTAGTAGGAAGCGATCAAAGCATAAAAGAAAAAAAAAAGGTAAAAGAGGGCTATATACACAAAGCACCCGCCATGCACGAACCCGCTGATGACAAACGAGAGAGCCCCGACGCGGCAACTGTAACCTTGACAAGAGTCTCCAAGCAGCACCACCTCTGCCATACATCCACAGAAACTGGGGGAGCTAAACAAAACAAACCACCCACGCAGCATCCCCAAGCTGCAGGATCTTTTCCCCAAGGACAGCCAGCACCCGCGATCGATCAACCCACCCATACAGCACAAAGCGGAAGAGAGACGAGAGCCAAACCAAAAAAAAGAAGGGCCGTTTTCAAGACCGATGGATTGGGATATGATCAGATTTATTGGCCGGCTTCGGTGGCTTCCTTGCCCTGTTGGGCGGCGTTAGTGAGCTGGGCTTCACGGCCACCCCATCTGTTTTTGGTGGGATTGTTAGTTTCGGTTTTCTTTACGGAGGGGGTATAACAGGTTTGATGGTGGGTATGCTGTGCTATTTTATAGGCGAGAAGCTGGGCCGCGGGAGAAGGGGGAGGGAAAACGTACTTCCAGTAGCTCAGGTAGCGGTAACCCTGGGTCAGCTGGGCGGAGAAGTTGATGGCGTGGCAGGCGAACAGGAGGTAGTTCTTGGGGGAGACGGCGAGAGCGTAACGCATGAAGGTACCGGAGTAGATGACCAGGGCGCCGGTCATCTGACCGGAGATGCTGGAGAGGAGGGTGCGTCAGCGCTTTCAAGTCCAGGATTCAGGCAGATGGATAGGGTCGGTCATGGCTTTGTTGCTTGCAATATGGCTGATCTCCGGGACGGAATTCCAAGACTCTCCCTTGGAGAAAGGTTGTGTGAAGGGATGGTCAAACGTACATCTCAGGGTCCTTCTGGGTGTCCATGACAGCAGCGATGGGGATACCGAAGTTGGAGGCAGGGCCCCAGAAATCTAAACAATGGAGATCCGTTAGCCATTGTTCAAGCCTGATTATTGGAACCAGGAGAAGTGCAATGCGCATTCGCAACGCCTGCTGCAGGTTTGGAAGGCGACCTGCTCGTCGTCTCTTTTGCTCGGCCGTCCTTACTGCAGACCTCGTTCGCCGGCCGATCTCGGTGAGGGTACGGGCAAGGTAACCGGGGAGGAGCACGTACGTGTAGAGCAAACATAGTCCAGAACCTTGTTGGAACGGATCTTAGCGTTGATTGCCTTGATTGCGGCGGCCATTTTGAACTATAAAGGGGAGAAAGGACGGAGGGGAGAGTGACGCTGAGAGGAGAGAGAGAACGGACTGAGAAGACAGAGCGAGGGTTGCTTTGCCTGCTCTCGCCGTCACTGCGCCGTTCGCCGGGCGGAGAGGCTCGGATAGGGTCACGTGTTGGCCAGTTGCCGGAATTGGTTGACTCCGATTGACGGGGCTTTGTGACGCGGTAGTACGAATATCTGAATACAATGAAGAAAGAAAGCGCTCTGGGTCTCATTATGTTTGAATAGTACAGTGCTTGCTGGAAGAATCTCTAACATTACTTCCGCCGATCCTAGCCTGGGTGTTTTCGGTCGACTTTTTCTTATCTGAGGGGCATCCGCACACGCCGAAACGCCTTTGCCTGATGAAAATTGGGATGCTGTGCTTAATTGGTTGAGGCTCCCATACGCCACCAACGAAGAACGGGATTTAAGCCTCATGCTCGAATTTCAACTCGATATCTGCCATGCTTCCGTCATAGCCAGATCGTAAGCCATCATGCCACGCTACCTACTATCAAATCACCGTCCGCCGAACCCGGGAGGGGGGTAACCCCGGCCCTGACCCGGAGGCTGGAAGCCCGGAGGAGGCTGGAAAGCGCCAGCTGCAGTGGGAACAATGTTAGTCAAGCAAGTATACGACCTTAGGACACGAAAGCTACTTACGAGGAGCACCTTGAGGCGCAAAGCCAGGAGGAGGAGCGAAGCCAGCTGAAATATCAATTAGCCATACAGCTCATCGATACCATCAGAGGAAAGAGAACTTACGAGGTCCTCCAGCAGGTCCGCCGCGACCAGCGAAGCCCGGAGGCGGCGCGCCAGGGAAGCCACCCGGAGGGAAGCCGGGGAAACCACCAGGGGGAGGGGGCGGTCCACCGACACCAGCAGCAGGGCCCCCAAGCCCGACGGGCAGACCACGTCCAGCGGGTTTGCTAATGCCAGGGCCAGCAGCGAGGGTGGCTGCCGCGGCAGCAGCACCGGGGACAGTCGTACCCAAACGTGCGGAGGGGTCGGCGGGCGGGGGTCCATCAACGGAGCAAGAGACGACGTGAGTACCACGAACGATGGTCAGACCAAGGGTTCGCTTCTCTTCGGCTTCGACAAGGCCAGCAGTCGTCGATCCGGCGGTGGGCTTGGATTTCCGCTTGACGCGACGGAATTCTTCTGTGTCGGCGAGGACGAGGTTCATGTGCTGCGGGGGAGATGTCAGCATGCATCCAACCACACACGGTTGGGATATAGAGGCGCTGAAGGGATTATGTACCTTGTCGAAAGCAAGCATCTGTCCTGTCATCTGTCGGCCATCGTTCAAGGTAACTCTCATCCGGTAGTTGATCTGCGTAAAAGGTCAGAGGTGGAACATGGCGACAACCCGAGATCGTAGACGAGGGACTCACGAGGTTTTGCTAAGATAACAAAAAGAAGTTAGCTCAACTGATTTCATCAAACTCCAATCACGTATCAATAAGAGTGAGGGGAGGGAGTGACGCAGCTTACCATCTTGCCCTGCTTGTTGGCCATGTTGGGCTATTGTTTTGCGCACGGATGCGACTTGAGATAGGGATTCAAAGAATAGAGCGGGAGTCCGGGACAAGTGCGAAGAAGACTCTTTTCAGAATATCTTCACTCCGTTATCCAAGGAGACAGCACGCGCAGTTTTGGGGGGAAGCAAGACTGGGGTGGCACTTGACTTGACTTCAGACTTGAGCTCTCCGGGACCTGGACTTGAGGTTCCATGAAGCGCGGCTCTTGCGGTCTTGGCGCCCGACGGCCGATGCCAAGCCACTAAGGGCTCTCGCTTCCCACACGGTCAACCCACACATTTCCCTTTTCCACACTTTTCGATCCTGTCTCTCTTTCACTCAACCAGTCGACCAGTTCACGCCAAAAGCAGTCGCCATGGTAGGTTTCCCTTCCACCAGATTAAACACTAGCACTTGAAGATACATATCCTTCGAATTTTCACACGATCTCGATTTTTTTCCGCAAAGTTCTGTTCGAAGAAAGACCCAATTTCTAACATATTCTTTTTTCGCCATGCAGTCGGAAGGAAAGGACAAGAGCGCCAACCCTATGCGCGAGCTGCGCATCCAGAAGCTCGTGCTCAACATCTCTGTCGGCGAGTCTGGTGACAGACTTACCCGCGCTGCTAAGGTGCTCGAGCAGCTGAGCGGTCAGACTCCGGTCTACAGTAAGAACGCCCGATCCCGATCTCGATGACAAGAATATTGCGAAGGAGAACGACAAGAAGCGATGATGGGAAAGCAAAGGAGGGACAATGGGCTGATGGATCACAACCTACAGGCAAGGCCCGTTACACCGTCCGTACCTTCGGTATCCGCCGTAACGAAAAGATCTCCGTCCACGTCACCGTCCGTGGCCCCAAGGCCGAGGAGATTCTCGAGCGTGGCCTCAAGGTCAAGGAGTACGAGCTCCGCAAGCGCAACTTCTCCGAGACCGGTAACTTCGGTTTCGGTATCTCCGAGCACATCGATCTGGGTATCAAGTACGACCCCGGTATCGGTATCTACGGCATGGACTTCTACTGCTGCATGTGAGTAGCACTCCGACCTTTGCACCTGGGGCAAAGATCTCGCCATCCCGTTCGACGTATCTCCAAGCACACCGGGCACTGACAATGTCAATCAAATAGGACCCGTCCCGGTGAGCGTGTTGCCAAGCGCCGCCGCTGCAAGGCCAGAATCGGTTCCCAGCACCGCATCAACCAGACCGAGACCATCAAGTGGTTCAAGAACCGCTTCGACGGTATCGTCCGGTAAATGCATTTTCGTCCCAAAGAAATGATTGGATTACTTCCCTTATGAAAGTCTTCAATGACGGGAAGAGGGGAAAGGAAAAGCCATTTTCTTTTTCGACCAGGCGATGTGCTTTTATGACGGACAAAAAACACAGAGAGAACCGATCTCTGAACGAAAAGAAATGGACAGAAAAGAGGCAGGCGTTTTTCTTTTCCAAATTTTTTTGTCGCTCTGCTCTGAGAAACTCTGTTTCTATCACGGCAATGAGGTTAGGCGTGTTAGAGATATCAAATTACCCCACCCGATTTTCCTCACAAAAACACACATCCCACTTTTCTCTCAATGAAGGCTTTCACAAAGGGTGAATGATTTTCCGCATAACCATTGATTGAAAAAAACAAAATGTTCTGGTTGGTGACAATGATGCTTCGTTCTTCGTTGCTCTTTGTCTTTTGCCACCTGCACTATCTTATGATGGTGTTCCTTCTGGTGTGGGTGTGCTTCATGGCCTGTGGCTTCGTCTATCTGGAAGGATTTTCTTACCAGACAGCGGGTCAGTGTTTCTTCCATTGAGGGGACCTCTGCTTAGGCAAGTTCTCATGGCTTCCTTTCTCAGATCTGGTGCTAGAGGCACGGGCAAGTTTTGCCTGGTTCTACGCTTCCAGTCTGGGCGTAGTCAGACCGTAGTTGTAGACTCGTAGCGATACGCCAATCGATCAAGGACTGAACTCTAGATCCATTACCCCAGACGACACTAGACCAAAAGCGCCTTGACTCCATGCTTAACCATCTGCCCCGGTCGATCATATCAACCTTGATCCTTGGGCTTGATGTTCCATACCTATTAGGTTATTACACCCTGTCAGTCTGCCATCAACAACGGAAAATAATTACCTTGAAGGACTTACCCGTCCTTCGGGCTTTTCACCGGAATGGGAAAGAAGACACGAAGTTTATGCGCCAAGCACATGATCTCTTGAATATACTACAAGACTGCGATGCATAAATGACATAGTATCAATCCAGCCGTTCTTGATGTTTTGCTTCCGGACTAATCACAACACAACATCAGAAACCTTCCTTCCTCTCGACTCATCGTCTCAGACTTCCAACCTGGAAAAAAGAAATGATACGTGAAAACAAGAGCCATATAACAACAAGACCCTTTCATATTGATGGGCATTTACTTCCCCTGGTTACTTCCCCGGGTGTATCCATCCCACCACCTGGCGAACATACCACCCGACTGAGACTGCTCGGTATAGCTCTCGCGGCGTGATGCGAAGTTCGGGTCGGCGGAGTTACGCTTCTGGCTAGTGAGACCCCCGAACAGGGACGAGTTCTGGCCACTGGAGCGTCTCCTGTCTGGGGCCCGAGGAGGGCTGCTGGCCATGTTGTTCGAGCTGTTTGACATGTCGGAGGAGTTAGAGCCCTGCTTAAGGTGTCAGCCGATGGAAAGATCCCCTCGCTATTACGAGATGGTTGTTCTCTGCTTAGGTCTCCACGCATGAACGAGATAGCACAGCACACGGCAAGGGCTTGACAGGAAGACTAAAGCTATTGAATCAGACAAAGACGTACACGTCTGTCGGTAGTCATCTCCGGTCCGGTCGTCGTCGTCGCCGCGGTGTTGAACACCGAACCACCCGGCACAGAGGGCCGGCGAAAGTAGGGGGCGGACGGACCACCGCGGACCCAGACGTTTTGATGCTCGTACCGGTTTCCGAAGTCTCCGTGCCAGTGACGGGGAGACTGCGGCTGATCTTTGCTCATGGTTTCAATTTGTACTAGGGAGTTTGGGCACGATGGGTGAGCGAAGTTGCAGTCAACTGCTTACTCCGTGAGTCAAAGTAGAGGATAGAATAGATAAGAAGACAGGAAATGGAGACTATGGTGTGTGTGACAATAGGAGACAAAAGACTGCACTGCTCTGCTAAACAGAGTTACATGCACTCTCATTCAGGATTGCGAGTCTCGGCGTCATTCTGATGGCAGCAAAAACGAGATTGTAAGGGTCAAATCGTAAGCTAAAGCCACGTACCAAAGTTCGAATGTTCTTATTTGACTTGGTTTGCGATCAGAGTGAAAGTATACAGTGCGGGAATTGTTAGAGGGTAAACTGTGGCACTGGGAACGACGGCGTAGCATGTAATATATCTCCCGGGGGATCGAGAAGAGGGGTCAGCCCGGTGCTGTGAAACAGACCCTGGGAGATGATGATGCATGCGAACCAAGAGCTCATCATCGAAGAGGGGGGCGAAAGAGCGAGCCTGGGCCAATGAGCCACTGATGGGAGGCGTAGACAGGATGGCCCATGAATCATCATCCATCCATGGATGCTCCAGTCACCGCCAGTCACCGGACCTGACGTATGCGGGGGGACAGTCGATCGAGAGATAACATAATCCTCTCGAGCTGATTGGAGATCAGATACATCGTTTTGTTGATCAGGATCATCCCACAAACAAAGCTGTACTTGCTGAAGTGATGTACTGTACTGTACATGGACGAGTACTGTAGTTGGTGGGACTGGGAGGGGAGTGGAGCTGAACATGTGACCAGCTGCAGTGAGAGAATCCGGGGAAGTAGAGGGGAGAGTGCCTGACGGCCTCAGGCCAGTAACTGCTTGCTCATTCAGTCGGAGTCCAGATTATGAAGCCGAAGCGGAATGCGGAATTGCCTCCTCTTCTTCTCCTCTTCTCCGCACCTCCCCCGTCACCCCATCTTATCATTCAACCACCACGGCTGATCAATGGTTGATTATAACATTGTTTATCCCCCTCTTTTTCTTATCCAATACCAGCATCTGCTTGGCTTCCTTGCCGACAGGGTGCCTGCGGGTGCCAATCACCAGTCCCCACGCCCTCTACCGGCTCGGCTATCAAATGCACTTATCAACAATCTTCATAATCAGTCCCTCAGTCCATAGAACAACTCCTCAAGGGATTAATCCCCAGGGCTTATATAGCCCAAGCTAAACCACCCTAATTGCGTCGAATACAACTCCCCAATCTCTGCATTCTCAACTGAGCTCACCCACCATGGAATATACCAAACAACCCTATCTCCAATTCCTGGCCCAACACGGCTACATCCAAGGCGTGACTCTGCACGACAAATCCACCAACAAACCGCTCTGCCGCTACTTCGGCGGCGTCCGCTACGCCCACCCACCTCTGCAACGCTGGCGTAAAGCCCGGAAGCTATCGCCTTCCTACTCGTACGGCTCCGAACACCAGCCCGGCCAGGCGGACGGACGTACAGGGATCTGTCCGCAGCCTCGTTTCCTTAACGTGGTATCGGAGGACGGCTGGACGGAGGACTGTTTCCAGTGTAACATCTGGCTGCCGATTGGCGAGGCGCCCAAGGGTGGTATGTCACAGCTATTTCAACCTCCGGGTTGGCCCTGACCTTGATATCTGGAAACAGTTGCCTTGAATCTACAAGACATGATAAATGATACCACCTAACGCTTAAAATCAAAACAGGCTGGCCAGTCCTCTTCTTCATCCGTATGTCTACCTCTTCTCCCTATGCACCGGAGCATAACTGACCGAAGCAATAAGACGGCGGATTCCTGCAATTCGGCGATCCGAACGCCTTCTCGGCCGCGGGCCTCCTCGGCGACGCCGAATTGAACGCCATCATCGTCCTGCCAGCGTACCGACTGAACGTGTTCGGCTTCCTGTACTCGAGCGAGCTAGAAGAAGACGCAGCGTCCGTGAATGAGAGCGTGGGCAACCACGGCTTCTGGGACCAGCGACTCGCGCTCGAATGGACAAGGGACCACATCCATCTATTTGGAGGCAATCACTCCGAAATAACAGTAGCAGGATACTCAGCTGGTGAGGTCCTTCCTCCCCCATATTCTCCACCTCCCCCCCTCTGACAACTTCCAAATAAATCCCCTTTCTAACGAACCCAAAATACGAAAAAAGGAGCCTACTCAACCTTCCACCAACTATCCTACGACCTAACCCAACCACCATCAACCTCAATAATCAAACGCATCTGCATCTGGTCCAACAGCCCGGTAGCACAACCCAAACCCCCACCAACCGCCCAAACGCAATTCACGCAACTCCTCATGCACCTCAACATCCCCCTCACCCTCCCACCCAGCCTCAAACTCCAACACCTCCGCACAACCCCCGCACCAACCCTCCTCAAAGCCGCAATGTCCCTACCAACAAACAACCAATTCCGACCTACAACCGACGGCACATTTATCCCCGGAAACCTCTTCGCCAGCCTCGACGACGGCACCTTCGCAAACCGGGTCCGGGAACGGGGCATCCGGATCCTATGCGGAGAGTGTCGCGACGAGCGTAACCTCTACGCAAATTGGTTCCCACCCGCGGAGGATTCGTTGCCTGCGCTGCGGGACCGGCTGCTGGCGGAGTATCCGGACGTCTTGGTGGAGACGCTCCTGGCGCTGTACTACCCCGACGGGGAATTACCCGCGGGCGTGGAGAATTGGCGGACGGATGCGTTTGGGCGCGTGTATGCTGATATGCAGGTGCATAAGATGCAGAGGGGGTTGGTGCATGTCTTGGCGTCCGGGGCTGCTGAGACGGCCAGCTGCAGCGAGGGAGATGGTACCCCCGAGCAACAAGAAGAGAATCTTGTGTATCGGTATCGCATCGAATATCGTCTCAAGTGCGCGGATAAGTCCATCCCTCCCAGCTGGGGCGTGACCCATGCCACTGATCAGTATATCTGGTTCTGGGGCAATGGCGAGCGCATCGAGCCTGAAGAGAGGCCCGTGATCTGGTATGCCCTGGTCGAGCCCTTCAAAAAGTTCGTGCATGGGGAGCGGGACTTGCAGTGGGGGACCAAGGGCCACAAGCAGGTCCGGACCCTGATGCCCGACGGCTCGGTCCAGATCAAGGAGGATGTCTTCTGGGATGAGGCGATGCGGGTCTGGAAGGCCTTAAGGGCGGCGGATGAGTCGGACAGCGCTTCCAGCGCCAAGCTATAACGAAGAATAGAATTCATTCACCTCTCCTGCTTTGGAAAGATGTTATCTGGGATCCCGGCTGGGGGTTGGAGCACAAACACATGGTTCGAATGGCGATCTGTGCGTATGTATGTAAATGTTCAATGCGATGCCTACAACGCAACATGAGGACAATCGAAACCGAAATGAATTCTACTTGTTTATTGATATGGTTGAGATTATGTTCGGACAACCAGCTCGTGGTCGAAAGAAAATTGAATTAGACAGAAAAGAACCAACCCAGAAACACGCTTGAAACACAAATATCAAAACACCTCAAAATCCTCACTGAGACCTGAAGACTAGCGCTCACCGCAAGCAACATAAATCATGGTTTTTTTTGGCGTCAAGTAGTTTTAGTCCAGGTTCAGGCCTTGGCGATCTTGCAGATCAGGTCCTGACCATCGACAGAGTCACCTTCCTTGACCAGCAAGCTGGAGACCTTACCGCTGTGGGGGGCGGAGATAACCATTTCCTAGTATAGATTAGCATCTTGTCGAAGGCAACAAAACATGGGACCGAAGGAACATACCATCTTCATGGCGCTCAGGACGGCCAGAGGGTCACCCTTCTTGACCTCGAGACCGTCGTGGACACGGATCTCAACGACAACACCGCTCATAGGAGCACCGACCTGGCTGCTGTCGCCCAAGTCGGCCTTGGCACGGGCCGTGTTGTCGACCGACGCCTTCTTGTCGTCGACACTGACCTGGCGCACCTCACCGTTGACCTCGTAGAAGACCTCACGCTGACCAGTCTGCTCGGACAAAGGACCAATGGCCAACAACTTCAAGATCAGGACCTTACCCTTCTCCAGCTCGACGTGGAACTCTTCGCCGATCTCGGGCCTGGCCAAGAAGTAGCGGGTGGGCAGGACGGACAGATCACCATACTTTCCAACGAACTTCTTGTAGTCCTCGAAGACCTTGGGGTACATGGCATAGCTGGCAACATCGTACTCAGTGGCAGCACCAAACTGCTCGCGGATCTGGCTCTTGACCTTAGGCAGGTCGATAGGCTCCAAGTAGAGACCGGGGCGCTTGTCGAGCTTGCGACGGTCACGCAGGGCCCGGGAGCGCAGAGGCTCGGGGAATCCGCCGTAGGGCTGACCCATCAAGCCCTCCAGGAACTCGAGGACGGAGGCCGGGAAGTCGAGCTCACCCGCGCGAGCAACAACATCCTCAGCGCTCAGCTTGTTGGACACCATGAATTGGGCCAGATCACCAACGACCTTGGAGGTGGGAGTGACCTTGACAATGTCACCCAGGAGATCATTGGCAGCCTCGTAGGCCTTCTTGGTCTCGGCCCACTGCTGGCCCAGACCAAGTTGGCTGGCCTGGAAGATGAGGTTGGTCAACTGACCACCGGGGATCTCGTGCTCGTAGACCTCCGGGTCGGGGCCGGTCAGACCGGCCTCGAAGGGCGAGTACAACAGACGCAGCTGAGCCCAGTAAGTGTCGAGCGCGCGGACCTGGTTCAGGTTGAGCCCGGTGTCGTGCTCGGTACCTTCGAGGGAGGCGAGCAGAGCGCCAATGCTGGGCTGGGAGGTCATACCCGACAGGCTGTCAGTGGCGGCATCGACGGCATCGGCACCAGCCTGGGCGCAAGCAATCATGGAGGCCACACCGGTTCCGGCGGAGTCGTGGGTGTGGACGTGGATCGGAAGGTCGGGGTAACGCTCCCGGATGGCGCCAATGAGCAGACGAGCGGCCTGAGGCTTCAGCACACCAGCCATATCCTTGATACCCAGGACGTGAGGCTCGAACTTGACCACCTTGTCCACGAGGCTCAGGTAGTACTCGAGGTTGTACTTCTTGTGGGGGTTCAGCATGTCACCACTGTAGCAGATGGTGGCTTCGACCACACCCTCCGCGGCGTGCACCGCCTTGATACCGACCTCCAGCTGGTCCACATCGTTGAGAGCGTCGAAGACACGGAAGATGTCCACACCGCACTTCTTGGCCTGCTTACAGAAGTGGTAGATGGCGTTGTCGGGAAGGGAGGAGTAGGCGACACCGTTGGCACCACGCAGCAACATCTGGAAGGGAATGTTGGGAACAGCCTTGCGGAGCTTGCGCAGACGGTCCCAAGGGTCCTCATAGAGGAAACGCATGGCAACATCGAACGTGGCACCACCCCAGCACTCCAGACTGTAGGCGTTGGAGAGGGCGTGGCTGGTCTCGTGGGCAATGTTGAGCAAATCGATGGTACGCACACGGGTCGCCAGCAGGGACTGGTGAGCGTCACGCCAGGTGGTATCCATGATCAAAGTGCCCTTGTTGGCCCGCACGGCACGGGCCCAGGCCTTGGGACCCTCACGGTCCAGAATCTGCTTCCAGCCCTGAGTGTGGGGCACAGAGACATCGAGCGGCTTGCCGTTGGCATCGTACAGAGTGGGCTTGATGATATCGCCCTTGAGCTTGGGCTCGCCGATCTGGCCCTTGATGCTGCTGCCGTTGACAGCAACGTCACCCAGGTAAGCCAACAGTTTCTGAGCACGGTTCTGACTGCCAACGAGGGCGAAGAGCTCGGGAGTGTCGTCGATGAAGGTGGTCCAGCAGGTGCCGTCGACGAAGGTCGGGTGGCTGAGAAGGGAGGTCAAGAAAGGAATGTTGGTCTTGACACCACGAATACGGAACTCGACCAGGGCACGGACGACCTTGCGGCGAGCGATTTCGTAGGTGGAACCACGGCAGGTACACTTGACCAGCATGGAGTCATAGTGGGGGGTAATGATGGCACCGGCAAAACCGTTACCACCGTCCAGACGGACACCGTTACCACCGGCAGAGCGGTACACCTCGATCTTACCAGTATCCGGCGAGAAGCCCTTGGAGGGGTCTTCGGTGGTGATACGGCACTGAATGGCGAAGCCGCGAGTGGAGATGCGGTCCTGGGTCAGACCCAGCTGCTGGAGGGTGGCACCGGCAGCAATCTGGATCTGAGCTGCGACGATATCAATGCCCGTGATCTCCTCCGTGATGGTGTGCTCGACCTGGATACGGGGGTTGATTTCGATGAAGTAGTAGCGGTTCTGCTGGTCGACCAGGAACTCGGCAGTACCGGCGTTCCGGTAGTTGACGGACTTGGCCAGCTTGACCGCATCGGCCAGGATGTTGTCCCGAACCTCCTGGGGCAGGTCCTTGGCGGGGGCGATCTCAACGACCTTCTGGTGACGACGCTGGACCGAGCAGTCACGCTCGAACAGGTGGACAACATTTCCGTGGTTGTCACCCAGCAGTTGCACCTCGATGTGCTTGGGCTTGTCCAAGAAGCGCTCGACGAAGACGGTGCCGTTGCCGAAGGCCGAGCGGGCCTCGGAAGTGGCACGCTCGAAGGAATCGCGCAGCTCGGCTTGGTCGCGGACGACACGCATACCACGACCACCACCACCGAAGGCGGCCTTGATAATGATGGGGAAGCCGTAGGTATCGGTGAAATCCTTGACCTCTTCGTAGCGCTCGACGGGGCCCGGGGTACCGGGCACGACGGGGACTTCGCAGCGGATGGCCAGCTGACGGGCCGAGACCTTGTCACCCAAGGCCTCGATCGTCTGCGGGGTAGGACCGACGAAGACCATACCGGCCTGCTCGACCTTGCGAGCAAATTCGGCATTCTCGGACAGGAAACCATAACCCGGGTGGATGAGGTGAACGCCGTGCTCCAGAGCAATCTTGACGATCTCATCGATGGCCAGGTAGGCGCCCACGGGGGTATATTGACCACGGTGACCGATCATGTAAGCCTCATCGGCCTTCTGACGGTGCATGGAGAGACGATCCTCGTGGGAGTAGATGGCGACCGTCTGCAGAGACAGTTCGTGGGCGGTACGGAAGATACGGATGGGGATTTCACCACGGTTGGCGACGAGGATCTTCTGGAACTGCATGATGGCGGAGTTGGCCCGCAGCCGGGTGTGGACGGAATCCCGGTGGTGGTCATTGTGGTCGTCGATGAACTCGGTGTCATCAATTGCCTCCTCGGGCTGGCGTTGAGGAGAAGCCATTGTGAATTGGCGGGGTTATGTGTGATTGGTTTGAAGAGGGAAAGGGAAGAGAAGAGTAAAAGGGAGAGGAGGAATGAGGAGGGGTGGTGGTGTTGGGGGGAGAGCTTGCGGCGGCGGAAAGTGGGTGTGGGTAGATAAGAAGATTATGACGTTGTGGTAGAGTAGAGGGAGGGAGAGAGAGAAAGAGAGAGGGGTGGAAGGGGGAGGAGGGGAAAAGTGGACAGGGAAGAAGCTCTGCAGGCACGGGTCGAGAACACGAGCTACAGAGGACTCTAGATAAAGAAATCTCAGTATTAGCCGACACACACCAATTGATAGCCGGAAAAATAGCCAAAGTGAGTCACTTTAGCTTAAGGAAAAACAGACTCCGGGGGAAGATCGAGGAGGGGAAGAAAAAGGCCCGGTTTCGGAACGGGCGAGCGAGAACAACAGGCGGGGAACGTGTAGTCTGTCTAGTCCGAGGAAGCACTTACCCGAAGTATGGAAGATTTAGGGATAACCCCGGAAAGGTGAGGAGGAAGGAGGAGGAGGAGAAGGGAGGATGTGCAGATTTTGATTGAGGAAGAAGAGAAAGAGAAGGAGAGGAAGAAATTAAAAAGAAGAGGAGGGAGGAGGAAGAATAAGAAGAAACGGAAGGAGGGGCTCTTCCCGGGAACGCTGCAACAGGAAGGCGCGATGGACGATGGACTACAGTGGAAGACGCTCACTCACTGAGGGCTGTGTGTAGACTACTGGGCGGGAAGGCGGAGAACAGCAACAGCAACCAAACAATTCCGGGGTGAGATTGCAGTCCTGAGTAAGTAGTATACACTCTGGTTTATCTTCACCGGCACACCGGACTGCAGCTTGAGGGATGGTCGTCGCCCCAGCTTTGGTTCCCAGTTCGCTTGCCTCAATACTTCCTTTCTCTCTCTCTCCGTTCGTCCGGGACCATCATTGGCTGTCCGAAATATGACTATTGATTTGACGTACTCAAACAAGCTGAATGATAAGCAGATTCCCCCACCAAGAGAGATCCTCCGCCACCGCCAAAATATCCAGTACAGCTACGAGTCCATTCCCCCTCCACACTCAGAATAAACAAACCCCCAGAGGCAATTGCTGG